AAAGTTGGAAATAGAACTTGTATATAGTTGGAGAATAGAATAAAAAGGAGTGACAATTGGACTAGGAAACAAATAAAAAGTGGTTCCAAGTTGGACTGAAACACGGAAAAGATTTCGGCAATGACAGTTGGAAGCGAGACACAAAACAAGGAAGGTTCCAATAATTGGGCTTTAAAAGGGGAATTTTATAAATGCAAAATTATAATTTTTTTTTTTTGTATAATTGTTAATTTTGTTAAAGAAAATTTTCCTGTATTTATTCATTTTGACTCAAAAGAAAAGTGAGTGAAAACTGTTATTAATTTTTTTATATTATACCTTTTTCTTAAAAAAGAATGTCGGGGAGGCATCGGTGCATATATTGGGAGAATTTAACCGTTAGAATAAGTATTTACCGAGGATATGTTAATGAAGATGGGCGACTAATCTGGCCTTCGATTTACCGAAACATAATAGACCATTCGCCTCCAATACGCCGAAACAGTAGATCGCCCCCGGTCCAAAGGGGAGTGTCCGGAATAATAACGAACAATTTAGATCACTCCGAATTACCGGAGCCCCGGCACCTCAGCATGCGCTCGAGGAGGAGACGTTCTTGTTACTTGTGTGGTTCGCCTAGTCATTTGCGAATGCGGTGCCCCCGTGGGCCAAATCGTAGGCAAGACTTAAATGATAATAGGGAAACGACGAGCCACAGAAGCCGAAGCCCGGGAAGGAGCGACGCACGCCCAGTTAGGACCATTTTGCCGCCTTTGACGATAGGGGCAATGCTACAACAAGATCAATCCATAACTGCGATCGGGCGACCGGTGGTGATTATTGAGCCGTTTCGAGAAGAAACGCCGGAGGTGAGTCCCAGGGCCTATTACGCTGAAGAGTGGCCGATGGTTGATTTGTCGGCCTCTGAGATTCAGGAATTGTTGGAGGATATAATGGGACCAGAATAAATTTTACAAATTTTGTAATAATAAAACAATTTTTTTTTAAATATCATTTTCCTTAATAGATTTTCGGGAATAATTAAAATACGATATTAATATATGTAGTAAAACTTTTAAAATATTTTACATCATATATTTTTTTTATTTATGTTAACATATGTAGAGAATAATAAATAATTACATTTTGATTTTATGTACAAAACCCTCCTGTTTGTCTTTGTTAAACAACAATTTTAATTTTTTTTTGTATGTTCAAGGGTTTTCATTTAATGGGGGCGTGTTATAAATAGTTTTATTTTTTTTGTATGAGTCATGAAATATTTTTTTTGTTTGAAATTTTATTTTTAATATTTTTTTTTAGTTTCGCGCAGTCATCTTGAACGTCATTATATAAATGTTTTTAATATTTATTATGTAAAAAAAAAATAAATAATAATTTAATATTTATAAAAAAAAATAATCTTATATAAACTAAAAAAAAAGTGGAAATTCATTATTAATCAATTATATTTTTTTTATATTTATTGTTTTAAAGAAAAATAAAACCATATATTCAAAAAAAAAAAAGGTAAAAAAAAAATATACTGTTAAGTTAAACGTTTCTGTACAGTGAAATTCTGAAAAATTGATTGTTTACATAACACATAATTTGTTTGGCATTTGCCAAACACAGGTATAAATTTTGCTTTTAAATATATTAACGAAATATACCCATTTACTCTAGAAATAAGGGAAAAAGGCATAAAAATCGTTAACTCAATAAAAAATTATTGAATTTCCTAGCACATAGAGGTAATATCATAAATTTATTACATTTAATCAAAAAAAATTATCTTAAACAATGAAATACCAAAAAAAGTTTATTATTATAAATTAGTAAACTATGTGAGAAGAAAACCAAATTAGAAGGAAATATGCGTAAAAAAACGAGTAAACCTGATTAGGGAGATATTTTAATATAAATGAAAAAATGAATGAGAGAAAGAATGCAACAGGCTCAACTTTCTCATTACTATATAGATGCAGCAAATGTCATACTGATGATAGACGGCATGGCTTGATTATTCACAGCAGAACTTGAATTTAAATATTATATATGAAATTCCATTTCATTGCTTACATTCCGAAAAATATAAAATTGCAATTTTAACTAAAGGGTTCATCATTAGAAAGAATAAATATGTCATTATTCAAGAGCTTATAATAAAACCGATAGTAATTTTACAATTAAGATCCAATCAATAATGACAGAATACTATGATATATTTAGACCTAGATGTTTGATTTTTCTTATTTTCGGTTTTGGGAAAGTCCGAACAATTTCTTATTTTTTGATTATACTAAAGATTAATTTCTGTTGTTGTCCGATTTGAAGATCAATTAACGGGCTATATAATGGTAAAAATTTAGGTAATTTCCTCAAGTAGTTTCGTTAGCTTCAAAATTTCACACTTTCCTTATAACTCACTTAGTTTTGATTCCGCCGGTGTCTAGTTTGAAGATCAATTAAAATTTTAAATATTGACATAAGTTTTAGAATTTGATTCAAAAGTTTTTCTGCCAACTTTACGGACCTTTAATCTTAGTAAGCATATTTTTAATTTTCTCGGTGAGTTTTGAGGCTGACAATTTTGATATAGCTGTTTAAATATTGATATTATTTTGTAAATCCATATATTTTCTAGTGATTATATTACAAATAAAATATATTTTATTATCTTCATCATATAATTTTACCTGAGGCCAATTTATTATACCTTTATTAGTTTAAGACAAAACTATATTACAGGATATTTATCGGAAACATTTTTTTTTTATGAATTATCATTATCTGGCAACCCTATCACTCAGAGTCTACTTGGCAGAATATTTAATGGAAGAAAACCCCCCAACAACTACCCCTACCCCCTCAAAAAATTCTGTGGCCTTCAGCCGTGATATTCGCCAAACTGCGATGCCATAGAGATATTAATAAAAAAAATCTTATAATAATCTACCATTTATAATCTCACAACAAAATTTTATTTACATCCTCCCAGGCCTATTTAGGCTAGAAAAAACAATTAAACCTCTAATTCTTGCTAATAATCAATCGGCAATTGAAAAGCTGTTTGGGCCACTACATTGGGATCGATCATGAGAAGAAAATATAATTTGGGAATCTCAATAACTTTAGATTTTTATAATTAAATAAAGAATATAATTAAAATTTGTTTACCTATCGAAAATCTTATTTTTAATTATAATATTTAAAGTATTTTGCTAAAATTTTAAATGATTTATTATATTCTAACTAAAATTCATTATTATAATAAATCATACATGTTAACCTCTATACTTTTAAAAATTTAACAAATAAGAATAATATTATTTTACCTGTTAAAAAAATTAATAAGAAGTCTTAAAATTTAAAAAGATAAAATTTATAGTTTTTTATTATTTGTTAATTGACAAATCAACCGCATCAATTATTGAATTTAAAAGAATACAGTTCAAGTCAAAAATTACCACCCAAAAATCAATACCTACTCCCTCAAAAAAATATCTACCCCCAAAAAATCTATACCTATCCCACAAAATGCAATATATAATTTGGATACATTTGTCTTTTACACACTCCGATTATGTATAAATTGCTGTTAGCAACGTTTATTTTTTAAACGTAAAATTTCTCTATTAATTTTATAAAAAGGCAATTTATATCTGATTCCTCAATCTTTATATTTTTCCCCTAATAAAAATTATACCAAAAATATTTGAGCATTTTTCTTTTATTTATTTAAAAGCAATATAAAATTTGCTTACCTCAGCTTTATTTTTTTAACGTTATAAAAATGTACTTTTCGATCAGATTTATTATTTTTTTAACAAAGTATAAAGATTATATTAATTATATTTAAGAAAAATTTAAAGGGGAACAATAATGCTTCCCTTGCTTCTATGAACGCTTCATCACTGCGGTAATTATTATAAACACGCTTTAACTCAGATCCGGCTTTCCAATTCCAATTCGATCAATTAAGTACGATTTGAGTTAGTTTGATATTGAAAATTAATTTTTATTTGAATCGAAGGCCCATCAAAATTTACCTTTACCCTACTAAACAAACTCACGAGCTTTGTCCGCGTTATTTGTCCACACATAATAATATATATATCTTTTTTAAAAATACCATATGGCAATCTTTGAAAATATATTATAAATTGTTTGAGAAAGAAATATGTCCTGATTTGTATTGCATTAATGCAACGCTTGTCCCTAATGGGTAATTCTTAGTTTGAATATTATCAAAATTAGGTATTAATTTTGCTGGTTACATCGTTTAAGTACTTAATCAAATTTTTCTTATACAAATTAACAAGTCGACTCAAAGAACAATTATTTATTTTATTTTTAGTATTTTATAAGAGACCACCTGCATCCCGACCATAGACCCAGGTGGCAGTATTTTAATTTTTTAAGAAAATAACCAGGCCGTATATTTTAAAGACAAATATTTTAAATTACCATTATTAGCTATAATAAATAAAAATAATATATTTAAAAAAATAGGGGCCAGGCCTTAAAATTTATTTTTATAAAATATAAAACCCAGGTTGGGCCGAACGTGAAAATGGTACTTCTGAAGGTCTCTGAATTTTACAAGCAGAATTGAACATTTTTCTTAGCACAATGAAATGAGTCAAAAAATTTGTATGATTGTTGAGTATCCACAACCTAATAGGCAATATTTTTACAAAAGCCTAGGAGATGCATCTAAAATCTAACCGATATTTATGATATCTTGCTTATATAATTATAATTTATTTAGGATTTCGAAAAATTATCTATAATTATAGAATTCTAAAGACCTTCCATAACATCATCTTGATATAGCCTTTTTAACTTTGAATCAAATTTATAATTCCTTAAATTTGAGATTTATTTAAAGTATTTTATTTCAACCCCTAAAGGATCGAAGAAATAAATTTTACTAATTTAAACATCCTGTTATATCTCATTAAAAATGTATACAATTTTTTAGTGAATTCTCAAATTCCTTATAAAAGAAATTTAGAAAAATAATAAATCTGTGATAGTATTCTATTCTATAAATTAAGTTATAAATTATATTACATTATTTTACAAATTTAACAGTAAATTTAATAAAATTTCATCTTTTTATTCTCGTGATCTTTAGGCAATTTCGTTATTTCGATTTCATCTTGATTCACCTCACTGAAAATAGCATGCGGTTGGGTCCTTGTAAATATTTTTTTTTATGTATATTCGATTTCATTTGATTAATATTTAAAAAAAAACCTCGCGATAGTAATTGCCAAGGTAAAAATGAGTGATTTTCATTTTCTATTCTATTAATAATTCTTTACTTTGTGCTCACTCAAAATTTTCAATTTTAAAGTCACCCCATCAATTCGCATATTTTAGAGCTGTACTGAGATAGATATTTTTTTAGGGACCGATTCGATTTCACAGATATAAAATATGTCGGTTGATCACCAACAACATCGATTTTTACTTATGTTAAGGAAAATTGTAGGAAAAAAGAATAAACTTTTAAAAAAAAATGACAAATAAAATAAATCTGCAATAAAGCAAAATAAAAGATATTCATATACTAATTGGATCAGTCAATTTAAAAATATTGATGATAACCGATTTTTTAAAGAAAAATGAAGGATAGGGCCGAACTAATATAAAAAATAGGGCCGAATTTATTTATTAGCTTTCAATGCCCATAAAAGTTTATTTAAGACTAACTTGGTGTAAGCCTTAGTCCAGTAAGGGTCGCTTTCGGCTTCTTTGGCATATTTAAGCAGAGCCTCCCTGGGATCTTGCTTATCGTTAACCGGGTTTTGCAAGGCGATGTTTTTGACGACAAATGAATGGAGAGTTCCGCCCGTAGCCGCTATTCTCCCGCCGGCCCCTTCATTTATTTATTAAGGATTTAATTTTATATTGATATTTACTTAACAATAGCGTTCTTTGGGCGTTTTATATTTATTTTATTCTCACAAGATTATCAATATAAATTGTGGACTTTTGGAAAACAACATAACATATAACTTATAACGTATTAAACTAAGATATATATTTATTTATTTTTGTTAGTTGTTGTTTGGTACTTTTCCTTCAATAAAAGCTTAATTAAAACCCTGATAGAACCTTTATAATTTTTCTAAAACCATAAGCGAACCGGTATCTTTTTAATTATTAAGAATCCTAAACCGTAACATTAATAATTTTTTGAATATTAAAACTATAAAACATAAACATTACATACATTCAACAATTTTTGAAAATTTAAAAAATAGTTTCTTTTCTATAACTTTATTTTTTTATAAACCCTTATGGATTTTTAATAATATTTGATAGTGTTGATATATTTTATGGTGTGATTTTATTCTGTTTATTATTTTTTTAATATGAAAAGATATTGAAAAATTATATGTTGGATTTTACTTTTTTTTTGCGAGAAGAAACAACAAAATAAAATTTATCAAGTCCAAAAGATATATCTTGTAGTTTAACCTTTTATAATTTTAAACTTTTGGCGAATTAATTTTTATATTTATTACTAGGTATTTTATATTTTTATTCGATTAATTTTTGATTATTTATATCTTAGACTTTTTATACACTTTTGATATAACTTTTGGATTGGATAAAATATTTTATTGTTTTTTCTCATAAAAAAAGGCAAAGTCCAACATACAATTTATCGCGATCTTTTCGTATTTTAAAAATAACATACATAGAATACATGTATTAACTTAATTATCTTTATAAAAATGATGTTTATCCTTTTTTAAAAAATAATATAACATATTCGATGAATTTACTCAAATGAAGAAACAATTGCATAATTCAATTACAATTAAATATTATTTTTTGGGGAACTTTTTACGGGGATATTTTTTTCAAATAAATTATGTAAAAAATAAACTTTCTCTCTTTCTGGCATTAAATGTGAGAGATATTTTGATAAATATATTTTTGGAAAGCAATAAAAATTTTAAAAAAATCATAGAGAGAAAAAGAGGGATATTGATTATAGAAAAATTATCATATCGGATAATGTAAAAATTAATTATGATTTAAAAAAATAATTCTAATATACCATACCAGGTCCATTAACGGGTAATTCAGGTCTTCTAGATTTGATAGGATCGGCTCTGGCTTTAATTTCCGCCCTGAGCGCATTTTTGGGTTTAGTCTCCTTAAAAAGGGGCAGGGCATATGGGGTTATAATGTAAGGAGTTTCGTCCTTAAATATTTGTTTTCTTTTGATCCGCTTTAGGTGTGCACATAATAGAGCGCCACTTAATGTTTAGAAAAATATGTTAAATCAATTTTTTAAAAAAGCTGTTATAAAAAAATGGATTGATTTTAGATAAAGCATAAACATGATTAATTATAATTTTTGTAACTTAAAATTATAATAGTTGGAAATATTTACATGCTATTAATAAAAAGAACATATTAAAAATTAAATATAAAAAAATAGACTGAAATGGTTGGATCATATTGAGTGAATAAAGAAGAATGAGTGGGTAAAGAAATGTTCAATGGTGGAAGTAAGAGGATCAAGGCCTCGAGAAAGGCCCAAGATGAGATGGATAAAGGTGACAATCTGAGAAAAATGCATCTCAGAAATAATGGTATCAGGACAGACAAAAGGAGAGGGGAGACTAGCTTACTCGAGTAAATATGGAAATCGGCATTAAACGGAGAAGAAGAAATGTAGGATGAAATTGAAGAAGAAAAAACGAAACTCACTAGAAACATCCGAAAAATAGCTTAATAAAGGAAACTATCTTGAAAGTATTATAAAATCTGCTTAAACATTGCTTAAATAAAATAATATATTTTTATCGGTAAAACTTCATGCATTTTTTTAAAAAAATGATATTTACAAAAAATACAAATTGTCATTCGCTTACTTAATATTATGGCATATGACATCCTTCTAAAACAAAAATGTGCTTTGTATTATCGGAGGCAGAAGTCAGTAATTACAAGAAAATTAACCTGAAAAACTAAAGTATAAATACATAAAATGGTCAATTAAAAGGAGCAGAAGAAAATTATTTTTTCATGAAAGTTTAATTAATTAAAAAATATTATATCGATAAGTATTTTTTTTAGCAAAAAATGGATAACAGGATGGAAAGTAATTATTGGGATTCAAACTTTAAAAAATATTCCTTTTTAAATTTATCGTCCATTATTATTTTTTTTCCAAAATTTATCGTCCATTACTATTTTTTAAAAATTATACGTCCATTACTATTTTTTTTAAAATTTATGTGACCATTAATATTTTTATAGTATTATTTTTTTGTTACAATTTATATACATAAAGCCATTTCCTCAAATATTTTTTCACATGCTCACCATTTAATCTTTTATCACCCCCAACCCCCGCTCATGTTTCTTATAAAGAATATAACTGTAATTTTTAATTTTTTTTACTTATGGCTAACATCGGGATCGTAAAAGACTTTAACACACCCATCGGTGCAACTCAAAGCTATTTGATTTAATCGCGGTTGCCATCCGACTCTAACACCACCTATCAAATATCCACCGTCAGTTTCGAACTTCTCGTTAATGTCGCTACTCTCTTTGTCCGTATTTTCGTTTTGCTCGTTATTTATACGAGAGGTTAAATCCAATTCTTCTATTATAGTGGAGGTATCGATAGGATTTTCCTTGGATAAATCCTTTTCGAGAAAGATTAATTTTCCGGAGATATTCAATTTAGGATCGGATGAGGTCGCAGTGCAAATCAACCTATCGTTAGGACTGAAAACGCAGTTTGTCCTAATGTGTAAGATAAAAATTTAATTAAAAAAAATAAAGATTTTATTCTTATAATTAAGCTCATTTTGAGCCGATTTTTAAAAATGGCTAATTATCCAGAAAAATATTGCGAAAGCCTAAAGTTTTCCCATAAACACAACGGGTTGGAAATCTATTAGCAACATCTAGAGGCTTTTGGTGCGCACAAATTGAGCATTTCAAACGCTGCGTTGTAAACACAAATTGCATATCAAATGGCTCGTTTTGCTTTTTTAAATTACTTATTTTAAAGGAATATTTAGAAATTAAAGAAATAAGAAGGCAAACGATAATATAATTTTCAAAAACAAATCCTTTTTAGAATTTAGTTAAAATTTTGAATAGACGACCTTAATAAAAAGGCAACCTCAATTTAAACAAGAGATGCGTTAAGTTTTTTTAATTAAAAAATTATGGCAATACGTAAACGCTCAATTTGTGAGTACTATTAGGCAATATCTAACTGGCTAAAATATTGAGTTAGCCGTTTTTAAAAATAGGCTCAAATGTGGCGATTTTGCGTTGTAATCATAAAATTAGAATGTATTTTAAAAATACATCAGTGGAGGTTTTTAAACAATCAAAACATTTAAATAATCTATAAAATTCTAAGCAAATTTTAATATTTTTTAATTAATATTGTATTGATTTAAAAAAATAAGGGATAAACAGTTACTAATACAGGAAAACTTGCAAGGGGGGGGGGGTACAAGGTTATAAATTAAGATTTAAATTTTTAAAAATTAGTAAAGCCATAGAATTGGTTACAGTATATATCATAAAATTCCCTTACATAGGAAAACGGTTATACAAATTAGACCACTGTTTAAGAGGTGATTGAATAGGTTTGTTACTTAATGTTCTGACGTCCCATAATTTCAGCGTATCATCAGTGGCCCGAGTGGCTATGTAATTATTATCGTAGGAATAAGTCAAAGTTCCCTCGGAGCCTAATAAATGGGCCCCTCTCACAACAGCTATAGTATTTACCTATTTAAAAAATATACATAAATTTTTTTATCTCCTTTCAATCTCTCTTTCTGTAGACTATAACAAATAACTATACACTAACCAAATAAAATCCAATTTAAAATCATATTTATAAAAAATAAACTAGTTTTCTTCGTTTATCCCATAATTGAATTGAACCATCTTGACTTAAACAAGCTAATATGTTTCCATGCCCATCAAAAGTACAGCCTGTGGGTATGGACTTCGCCCCGTTTTTTGCTTTTATTTTTAACAAGTTGGTATGTTTCTTATCAGCTGTGTCAGCATTCCATAATCGTAATGTACTACAAAGGTAAATAAATTTTGCATATTTTTTTGAATCAATCACTTAAAAAAATATTTTTATTATAATCAGATTTAGTAATATATTACACAATTAGAGACGTGGATACTGTGAGATATTTATTAATATTAATGAATAGATAAGAAATTATGGTAAAATAAAATTTACCAGTCATTAGAACAGGTCATAAACTCTTGTTTGTTTCTAGGATTCCAACATCCTTCATTTATAAAAGCAATGTGACCCTTTAATATGCAAAATAAAATAAGATATCTGAATATTAGTTAAAAGAAGCATTTAAATATTTTACAAGATTGTATTATAAAATAGATAGGACTGGGAATGTATAATTTTTTGTTTTAAATTATAAAAATGTGTAAAAAAACCATCAATAGTTATTTAAAAATTAAAGTCCTCAATAAAGTAATAATTAAATATTTTACATTAGTATTTGTGGTATCAACAATGTATTGATCTCCTTTTATGCATTCGATAAATATGTGCCCTTCCCTATCCAATACTTTAGCTTGAGAACTTCCGGATGTTACAAGGATCATATCCCCGGTGCAATTGTATCTGACAGAAGTTATTTGATTACTATGATAAAATAGAAAAAAAAGAATTTAAAATAAAATAAGATTGCAAAGCAGTTTGCAAAATAAAACTTTCCAACAGGTTCCAATGTTCGAAAAGGTTGTAAAGTAGAATCCATACCAGTAAAGTCCCACATATTTAACTCATAATCAGTACTTCCTGTTACCAACCTTGACCCTGCATGGTCAAAATCTAAAGCAGTGACCTTATAAATGTATAAATAACAATTTAATATCAAATCTTAATAATGACAATGTAATATGCATGGGATCCAAGTGATGTTAAATAGCTTGATTTAGTCAATTTTTAAAAATGGCCAACTCAAGATTTTAGGATCTTGACCATAGATAGCAAAAAGGTATGAACATCTTTGGTCAAAATTTTGAAGCAAGAGTATAATAATAATTTGTTTGATTTAGCCATTTTTAAATAAATCCAGTCATAAACATTGCCCATAATATTAATGGGATTTGTAATACTTAATTTTTTTATAAAATTTTTCAATAGAATAAAAAAAATAAAATAAACAATCATTAAATTATTAAGGTTAATTACAAAATATTTAAATTAAATTAATAGACAATAGAATAAATAGTTAAAGTTTGACATTTTTTTCTATATAAGCTTTCTAAAAAATTCGAGTTGCAGGTCTTGCCCTGGTCTAAATAAGTTGTTTTTACAACTGGCAAAAAATTTGAATTTTACAGGTCATTGAATTGTGGGGAATTTTTTTTATTATATATTATTTTTTATATTTTATAAAAAACATGTATATTTTTATATGATAAAAAAATAAATTATGTATTATTATTTAAAAAAATAAACATAAAATTATAACACTAAATATATTATTATATCATTTTCATTACCCCCATTTTTTATTTTTTAAATATATTTGAAAAAAATATCTTTTATGAGTATTTAAAATTTTTTTTTTTGAAAATGTATTGCAATCCTTAATTTTTACTTTTAATTGGGTAAATTAATGAAGATTAGGAAATAATTAAGGTTTAAATTTTGAGAATTCTCCAAAATTAGAAAGTAAATAAATTATAACTTTTTTATTCAGAAATAGCTGATTGATGAAATGAATTTAGAGTCATCTCAAAAACTAGATTTTTTTAGTAAACTAACTAGCAAAGTAGTACACAACTTAGCTACTTTCTAAAAAAGTAGCATTTTACCAACTAGTGTTAAATCGTATTTGAGTTGATTTTTAAAAACGGCCCGATTAAGATTTTAGCCAAAATAATATTATCTAAGCCTCTAGATATGGTAAATATATGTCCATACCAAACGTTTGGCATTTTCTGTTGTCTGCTTTAGTGATTTCCCATGTTTCACAACCATATAATAGAACAGGAATCACCGTTGAATTAAAGATGTGTAATCTAGTGAAAGTAGGACTCCGTCTTCCAAAGCTTGAAATACTTATAGAAAGCTGCCCTGGCTTTTTGTAATCTATACTTGAGTTCCTCTCTACATCCCCCTCTATTATCTCAGGTAATTCCAAGATATTTTATTTGAGTAACCACCTTGATCGACTCCGATCCGATATCAATATTCTCTATAGGAGGCGTGTGTCTTGCTAAGAGAATCATAGTTTTTTTAAAATTTATTTCTAACCCAACTTTCAAGCTTACCAATTTCAACAATTGAATGAGATTCACGGTTTCCTCAAGGTTAATGATTACCACATCATCAGCGTAGGAAATATTTCTAATCTCTAGATGAAACGTATTACTCATTGATGTGTTAAGTTCCAGCAAATTAGCCGCGCCCAATGTGTCTTTTAGAATTTTGTCTATGTTAAAGAGGACTGGTGAAAGGGTTGACATTATCGAACGCCTGTTTAAAATCGATAAAGGTGAAGTAGAAGGGTAGCTTATACCTATCACATTTTTGGATGATAATTTTGAGAGCAAGAAAGGGCTCCATGATATTTTTGCCTGGGCGATAAGCGCAAATATATTTGGCAAAGAGGTTTTGTGATGTTTGCAGAATACGAATCTTGAGGAGGGCCATAAAGACCTTACAACTGCTGTACCAAGCTTTTTGCAAATTATCTTCAATAAAATCTGGTCTACAGGGTTGACACCGAAGGATTGGAATCTTTCCACCCTTTGCAACTTCCCCAAAATCTCAAATCCCACTAAATTCGGTGACTATAGGACAATAGCACTCACCTCTACGGCATCTAAGGTCTCTATGGCCCTCCTCAAGATTCGTATTCTGCAAACATCATAAAACCTCTTTGCCAAATATATTTGCGCTTATCGCCCAGCCAAAAATATCATGGAGCCCTTTCTTGCTCTCAAAATTATCATCCAAAAATGTGATAGCTACCCTTCTACTTCACCTTTATCGATTTTAAACAGGCGTTCTATATTGTCAACCATGATGCACTCTAGAAAACACTATCTGAGGTTGGAATTGACCCAAATATTATCAAAATATTACGACACCACTACAATAATCTGTTTACCACTTGCAGAGTAAACAATAAAGTTTCTCCACTATTTAGGATTAGGAAAGGAGTAAAACAAGGCTGCGTCCTTTCACCAGTCCTCTTTAACATAGTAATGAATAAAATTCTAAAAAACACATTAGGCGCGGCTAATTTGCTGGAACTTAACACATCAATGAGTAATACGTTTCATCTAGAGATTAGAAATATTTCCTACGCTGATGATGTGGTAATCATTAACCTTGAGGAAACCGTGAATCTCATTCAATTGTTGAAATTGGTAAGCTTGAAAGTTGGGTTAGAAATAAATTTTAAAAAAACTATGATTCTCTTAGCAAGACACACGCCTCCTATAGAGAATATTGATATCGGATCGGAGTCGATCAAGGTGGTTACTCAAATAAAATATCTTGGAATTACCTGAGATAATAGAGGGGGATGTAGAGAGGAACTCAAGTATAGATTACAAAAAGCCAGGGCAGCTTTCTATAAGTATTTCAAGCTTTGGAAGACGGAGTCCTACTTTCACTAGATTACACATCTTTAATTCAACGGTGATTCCTGTTCTATTATATGGTTGTGAAACATGGGAAATCACTAAAGCAGACAACAGAAAATGCCAGACGTTTATTAACAAGTGCTTAAGGATAATTAACGGCGTCTTCTACCCTAGACTCATAACGTATGAAAGATTATGGAGACAATCGAAACACACTCCGTTCCACATCATACTCAAGAAAAAACGAATTCAATTTTTAGCCCACATTTTAAGACGTCTTAACAATAATCTGGTTCATGACGCTTTAACTTGCCTCTTTACCTGTAGAGGTAATACAGTAGATACAAGGTAATGTTGCTGATCTGAATATAAACTGGAAACAGTTAGTTAGATTGAATAACAATAAAAATTCTATCAAAAAGCTTCTTAAGATTAAATCTAGGCAACTAAGATGAAATTCCTCATCCACCAAACCTTTCTCCCCCTTTATCTACTTGAATACATTTAGTACAGGTTTCTTTTCTCTTATTTAATAATTACATATTATTAAAAATGACTTGCTAAACATTAACTTAAACTAGCCTCCCCCTTTCCAATAATGATTAGATACAAATAGGATTATAGGTATAGGTGTGGGCTGTCTTTTTAGGCCTTTCCCTCTTAATCAGCCCACAGACGTTTAAATGATAGTCCTCGGACTATTGTGCGTACAAGTACGTGCAACTTGCCCACAAACGTGTAAAGGGCTTCTCATATTTTCTTCCCCGATAACTTTAATAATCCAGTTAGATGGAAATGAGAAAAACCTAGCGTAGCTCTGTTGTTCCCACAACATTGAGAGGATGAATACGCTTTATCACGTATCTATGAGAAAAATCTCTAAGCGTAGATAATACTATTTTGGTTAAAATCTTTATCAGGTAGCTTTTAAAAAACAGACCATTACTATCAACATTAGTTACTGCTATGGAGTAATGTGCTGCTTTAACAACTCTGATAACAAATAATTAAAGTGCATCATGTCAATTCTCAAAAGTTTATCATTTAATTAAATAATAGCTGCTAAATATAAAGGCATATAATTAAAATATATATGATCTTTAGTTTTTTGATCAGTTAAAAAAAATAATAATAACTAATAATGAATTTAACTAGTGATAATGGTTGATTGCACCTCCTAAAAAATGCCTGTATTGCAAATTTCTCATATCAATAAATACATTATAAATTAAATTTATATTTAATTGACTATTTCAGTTTATTTAGTCATATATTTAGCTTCATTATAATCTAAAATAAGATAAACCTATTATTTGTTTTTCTCCTTATATATAAAATAACCAAAATCAATAATATAATATCAAACAAGATTTTTTTAAAAAAATGATAAGTATTAAAAATAATTTATATCTTACTGTTTTGTCACCATGAGCAAGTGATATAAATTGAGATTTAGGAATTGTGTTGTGTATTATATTATTTGTTTCAATATTATCAAGAATATCATCTTCAGACTCACTATCAGTATTATTTACAGATTTATTTGAAACTTTTTGTATGGATTCTGAAATATTTGATTTTTTATCAATAATTTCATCTGATATAAACTTAGATGTAAATTTAAATAATTTCTAAAATACCATTTTTAAACCAAGTTTTAGAATTTTCCTTGGCCTTAATAACCATGTCCTCTATAACAAAACTGCGGGCTTTTTTATCTATTGAATATAATTATAAGATATATAACCTTTTTAAATAATACCTGATTTAGACATTTTTATTATCTATTTAATAAAAATATGGTCTAAGATTATTATATCTCATTCTCTTTATTTAACGAATTCTCTCTAAATTGTCCTGTATTAAAGTTATGATAAAAAATTGATATATACGAAAGATATCGATATGGCAGAATGTCAATTGAATTTTTTACTAAGCGTCAGTTATTATTCAAACGCTATAATTATAGGTTCGAGCTCAAAAATACTTTGCATTTAAATTATTGTTCAAATATTTTTAATCTTTAAAACTGCATGTAATTAATTCTAATATTAATATTCAGAAAAAATTTAATTTAAAAATTGACCTCACAAACACAGTGTTCTTGACAATGGGTTGCCAAAACCTTAGGCATGTTCGAAAATAAGCATATGATAAAACAATAAACAAAAAAGGGGACAAATAATAGCCGACCTAAGGCAAGGATCCTACAAAGTCAGCAGATTGTTCTCGAAATCTGCTAGCCTAATTTCAAAGCATTCACTTTTCTAAAGGGTAATATATAGCATTTTTTTAGATCTTATAATATCTTTATAAATTCTATATATTTTTTTTAAATATAATTTTTAATATTACATTTGTTTTTTTTTAATAAAATATTATAAAAATAAATAATTAATCCATCATTATTATTTCTTTCTAAATTATTAAAATTTTTATTAAAATTTTATAGAATAAAATATTTTTAATCCAAGCTAAAATGTCACGATCATATTTAGTCCCACGTTTACGTCATACGTCATAATAAGCGCAATTGCCCTTTATCGCTATATGAAACAGCAGAGCTACGCTTGGACTATCTCATCCCATCTAATTGGGTTAAGAAATTTGGGGGTAACCTATGAGATGAGCCCATCCACAATTTTTGGGCAGGCTGCAGTTACCTGTGCGCGCAAGAGGCAAAACCACTTGCTTAAACGCCTACGGGAGATAAGAAGAAAGAGAAAAGCCCGTACCCGATTAAGTAAGATGTATATTATAGGGAGGGGTATTGGTAAATTTTAAGTTTATGGTCTATATTGAATTTGTTTACTAACTCAACTTTGCTTTTTGTAAATCCATGTGAAGGAATCTACTATCAATATTGAGATATAATGTTCATAGAATCTGTAAATAAATATGATTAAAATATAATTTTATCACTTGAAATTTTTCTACCGGATCAATTATAAAATAAACCCTCCATTATAATCAAAATGGAATAAGAATACTTGGTTATCAAATACTTTAGTTTTATTTCAAAAATAATTCAATATAAAAATAAGCATGTTCAAAACATCTTCTTTATTATAATAAATATTGTATAGTTTAACTAAATATTCTAGTCCCACGTTTAGTAAAGCCAACCAACCTCTAAAACATATTATTAGCATTCATTCATAATAACTAACATATGGGCATATTTCTAAAAAATTTTAAAAAATGAGTGTAAACTCATTATCTTATTTTATAAATGGGATTAAAAATCAGTCGGAAGAGATTGCACTTAAAGTTGCTCAGCAACTTCATCATTTTGCAGGGACTGAATTGAAAGAAATGCCTGTTGACGAATCTAATAATTTTTTAGAATTATTTAATCAACGTATATTTGAATTAGTTTCTAGTTCAGATTATTTTGATAAAAGAGCTGGAATATTAGCCATTAGTAATTATTGATATAACCTTTTTAAATAAAAGTTTTATAGTGAGTTTAATTGGGATTGATAGTAATAATAGTTCAAGATTAAGTCGCTGTGCAAATTATTTAAGAAATATGCTACCTTCTAGCAATCAGTATTTAATGGAATTAGCAGCAAAAGCTATAGGGTATTTAGCACTGTCTAGTGAAACATACACAGCAGAATATGTAGATTTTGAAACAAGAAGGGCTTTTGAATGGTTATGTGGTGAAAGAAATGAAGAAAGAAGACATGCGGCAGTAATAACTTAAATTTTGAACTACTGTCATATAATTGAAAATTAAGGTATTGGTTTTAAAAGAATTGGCATTGTGTACACCAACATTTTTTGTCCAACATTTGCCTCAATATTTTGAAACTATATTTATAGCATTAAAGGATACAAAGGTAATATTAAATGTTATGTATTTAATTTATAGATTGGGTATTAAACCTAAAAAGAATGTGATGTACTATGAGATAATTAGACCCAAAAATAGCTATTTTTTTCTAAAAAATATTAATAGAAATAATAAAAAAATATAACAAATAATGTGCTTGAATCTATTTAATTATATTTTTAAATGCTCAAAAATTAAATTTCTTTAATTAATTTAATTAAAAAAATAATAAAAAAGTTAATTTTTTAAAAACTAAACATAAGCAAATGATAGAATAATAGTTATGAAAAATTTACAACAAATTGGTAGAATATATTATTCATAAGGATTGTATTAGAGATAAAAAATTTAAGAAAAAAAATATAAACAATATTAAATATTTTATATTCCTGGGCATCACAAACTTATAAAACTGTTGAAAAACAAGAAAAAACTATAAAAATAAATACACATCCAAAATATATTTATAAACTTTAAAAAATTTAACATAGATTAAAATTTTCAAATTTCTGTAAGATTCAAAACTTTTAGAATTTTAAAACAGATTTTTAACATAACCTAATTGTCATCTAAAAAAGGAAAAAAATTCTCAAAATAAATTGTATATTTTTTTATTCATTTATAAAATGAATCGTCCAGTTAGTGTTATTTTTGAAACTTATTTCTGAGTAGCCCTGGCTAAACAGATTAGGACACTCTATTTTGACTTGTTTTAAAGTTTGTGCATTAAATGAATATAATTTGTTATCTATATATTATTATTGGTACAAATAAACAGGCCCAATTCTAGGCCTATTTTGGTGGGTGGGGGGGGCCTGCATCTCCCAAAAAATTTTAAACCCACCTCCCCCCACCCAATTTTGATAACTGCCCCTCCCCCATCAAAAAATTCTAACTCCCCTCCCTCATCCAATTTTGTTATTTATTTATTTATTTTGGTTCCTAAATATTTTTATATTTTTTTGATAAATTTTTAAAAATAAGAATGTAATGGGAGAGAAATAATTGTTTACCACTATTAAAAAAAACTATTCTTGTCAGCTTAAATATCTGCCAGCACACCTCATATTGTAATTAGGAAGGAGAAAATGTAAATGTAGTTAATTTGGTGGGAGAATGAAATTGATCTAGATGCTAAGATTCAGAATAAGGAAAATGAGCCTGAGCTTGCAAAACAAAATGGATAGTTAGGGTTTTTAAGATATTCTTATTGCAAATATTTTACAATTGATTTAAATTAGGTATCAGCAAATAGGTCAACATCTAATATTCAGGTCGATTTAAAAAAAAGGCTCAATCAGAATTATAACCAAAATAATATTATTCTGGAGATTCTGCTCTGGCAGAAAGGCTTGGAAATCTATTTGCCAAATGAAGAGGCTTACATAACATTATTTTTCTAGAATCTTAATTGGGTCATTTGACCCAAATCAGGCTTTTTAACAATAATACCAAAATCACCAAAAATTACTGTTACTAATAATGGATGAAGATTTTCTTTATTATGAATACATATAGGTTGAATAATTAATTGATGTTTATGCAGTTTTTCACCTTCCTTGTAAGATATATATCTTAAAGAATGGTGAATAAAATTTATACCAAATCGGGTTTTACCAATTGGAAGAAAGTTCTTGTATATAGGGCTCCCTGAGAAACATTATAATCGTAGAATTCATAGAAGAAGAGGATCATAAGATTTTCAATTTTATTGTATAAACTAATTAGCTAATATAAATCAAGATAGCCATTTTAATTTACTAGATATAAGAAAATTAAAACCTTCATTAGCAACCAATATTATTGGGATTAGTAATTTAATTACAATTGAGATTGTTAAAAAATTCATTGAAAGTTTAGAAAATAAAAAGATTGTGTTACAACAGATTTTGTCAAATTTCTATGCCTGTACAAAAATGCATTTCCAAATGTTTTTCAAATATTCGGTATCAGTTTAGATCATCCACATCGAGTTGTGTGTCACTTTTAACTATTCAAGAGAATTATAAAATCAGATAAATGTTTGAGTAGTGTTATAAGAAATGGTAACTTGGTTCTATTAGGTAATGGGAAAAACATAACCGATCAATTTTGGAAATGTTTTCAAGATATTTAAAAACACATTTCAACCAAAATTATATTGTTAATGCTTTATTTTTGTTAGTTTTACACTGCTCAATCATTGACATGATACCAATTGCAATATAGTTATAAATATTTTCTAATTGAATCCTTAACAAGCATTATACAAATACAATATAGTTATAAATATTTTCTAATTGAATCCTTAACAAGCATTATACAAATACAATATAGTTATAAATATTTTCTAATTGAATCCTTAACAAGTATTATACAAGTACAATTAAACTATATTAACGTTATTATATAATATTTGTGAAATCATTAAATCAACTTATTTCTTTCCAGCTATTAGTCAATTCTTATCTTCCATCTAATTTTATAAACATATTTGATCATTGTATATTTTTATACTGAGTATTTTCAACTAAAATCCTATATTTCAATTTTATGTTCAAATAACAAATATTCGTTCTATTGTCTTGAACATATTTTTTTTAACTGCCCACCCAAAATTGTTGTCTGCCCCCCCCCCATATGGGTGAATCTAGAATTGGGCCTACAAATAAACAAAGACGCATAATCAAATCAAATAGCCTCTTTAGTTTTAGGCAATTTAGAGGAAGCTTAACGGCTAAACATCTGTTTAGAAATAAGATTAACCAAGACAACGGCCTCATTTATTTTTTACTAAAAAAGTATTTTAATGTAATCAGGAATTTATTTTGATTGGAAAACACCCAGTAGAAATTATGACAAATTAGCTAATTATAATGTTGAGTTACCCTGGGTTTGAATACCCCGATCTTTTAACAAGATGGAAATGATTCAAAATCAATTTAATTTTTACAATTTTTTTTCGAAAATATTTATTTAAAAAATTTAATAAGATTGGTTTGTCTCCTAGATTTTCACCTTTAAAAAAACATAAATTTGACATTTTTTATACTTTTGAACCAGGCCACCCTATTCTGTTTTGTTTTAAAGTGTGTACTAAATCTAAATACGCTCTTTTCTTTCTCATTTGTTTGGAGGAAGCTATATAGACAGTTAAACAGATTTATGTTTAGAAATAAGACGAAACAGGACACAACCATAAAATTTAAAAACTATTTTTATTTGTTTCAAATAATAAATATATAAAAAATTATATTTAAAGCCAATAATTCGGGAAGGCGCGTCACTTTCACTCAGAGCTGTCTTACATATAGTTAGTCAGAGGGAGAATAGAGATATACATAAGCCACCTTGGTATCAGGTAAATATATAAAATAGACCTTTATGTATAACATAAAAATTTTTTTATCGAGATTTTAGCTCGGCCTAAAAATCATTTTATACACGTTTTCTGGCCGCCTGAAAAATATTTTTGACCGACTTAGCCATGGCCGACATCTACAAAAACATTGAGTTATTGATAACATGAGCAAAAAGACAGTCGAATGCCTTTTTTCAAAATTTAACCTAAATTTTTTATCTTCTTTTTAATTATACCTATTCATGGCAAAGCCAATGAAGGTTTTTGGGTTTTTGTAGCACGCCACACCCACCAACGACTGCTTAATAACACCTAAGTGATAGGACTTAGCGATTAAACTGATTTCTAAAACTGCTTGATTTTTAAAAACGGCAAACCCAATATATTAGCCAAAAATATTACGCAGGCCTGGAGATTTTGCCCATTGATGAAAGAAAGGTTTGGACATCTAATAACGGAATATCGAGGCTTGCATAGCATTTATTGGCTAAAATATTCAGTTAACCATTTTTAAAAATTGAGCCATTTGACAACACTAATTAAATATATATTTTTTTATAAATGAATCAAGGATCAATTCATATATTACAGCGGAATAATAATTTATAATGAATGAATTGTGTCATCTTATATATTCATGATTCTCATTATTATTATAATGAGCTCTTTATATTTTTTTAAAATGCACTTCCCATGAAAACTAATATAAAATAGAGAGGGCACTTACCCTGAATTCATAATTAGCGCGAATTCGCAGATTTTGCTTATTTTGCCGCGAATTCGCGCTAACTGTGAATGAGGGGTTATCCAGAACTTCTTTTACAAGTTTTATACAAGTTTTATACAATAAATTTCTTTTATCAATACAATAAATTTTTTATCTGGATAAGAGTTTTTAGAAAAAATCCTTTTATTGATATTTTTTTTAAATTACTTACTAAAGATCTCCTTCCCCTCTAAGAGTTTTAATTAAACGGTCAGGGTTAGTCACGTTTTTTGAAAGCTTAAAAAAAATTGTGTCTTAAGATACAAGATATTTGACAAAAAAATTTAAGATACAAAATATAATAACCATTAATGGTATCTATAACGTGATATTTTCGAAAATTTTTGAAAAAAATACAAGATACAAATATCCGCGATATTGTCCAACACTGGACTATAATAAATAAATTAATTATAAGAGAGTGTTCTGTTAATAATTCGTGTTAAAAGATATCATTGAATCAAGGCTTCGCGTTTCTTCAAGAAGCGTCATCCAAAGAGCGAAGTTACCTCAAGGAGGAAAAAACTCACGGGGGTCTTTTGACGTTGAACGAATTATTAAGGATCGGTTGTATTCAATCCGAGGTTATAATCTAAATAATTTTAAATTGACCGCCATTTTTATTTATGAAACTAAGAATAATCATGTTTCCCTTTTACCAAAACTGGATAATCACCTGTCCCTCATCTGACAAGAAGGTGATCGATTAATGTAAGGGAAAAAATATTGAACCAATCTGGGTGATCGATTAATGTAAGGGAAAAAATATTGAACCAATCTGAATTCCAACACAGCCTTTGTTGATTGCATTCAGTTTGCAACTTTTTAATTTCACAAAAAAATAATTTATTTACTCTTTCTTAATATTTTTCTATAAAGATTGTGCGGAAAGAATTCGAAGAAAATGTCTCAAACTACAAATTTACGGAAAATGTTTTTTACAAGGTATTAGGATTCCCAATTATTAATTTATACACATTTTTATATAAAATTAAAAAAATTAATTTATAAAGAAAGGAAGGAAGGAAGGAAGGAAGGAAGGAAGGAAGGAAGGAAGGAAGGAAGGAAGGAAGGAAGGAAGGAAGGAAGGAAGGAAGGAAGGAAGGAAGGAAGGAAGGAAGGAAGGAAGAAAGAATGAATGAATGAATAAATAAATAAATGATTGAAAAAGAGAAAGTAAGAAAGAAAGAAATATTAAATACGGTCATACTCCTAGTATATTTTTTCTAATAAAAAAAATAAACAATTTGTTTAGTCTCCAGTAAAGAGTAGGGTGAAATTGGACATATCCATCAATTTTTTGCAATTCCAAAATCAGATGTTTTTAGATTTTATTCAATCCATAGCCTCGCAGAATTCAAGCGACCCCCAAGATATGATACAGAGTGAATCGTGCGGGACACTATTGATTCAAAATTTCGATTTGGTTTTTTTTCCTTAAATAAAATTCATTTTGATACTCCCCCTTAAATTTTAAATTTTTTTCTTTTTTGGCGGTTTTACATGTTTCTCGGGCAAGCCAGTTTATCTTCTGATCCCTCTTTTTCATTTTCTCCCGTTATATTTTAATCTTCACGGCAAAAACCGTATAAGCGGATTATAATAACTATTTTACATTTATTTGAAAAAAAGAAGAAAAAAAAATCACAATTAGATTTCCTAATTTATTATTTTTAAATTTACTTACAGCTTAACAGTCATATCAATAAGTCTCTGTCTAATCGGAATACACAGGTTCAATTATTACTAATGGAAATGATACCGCGTCTCGCGTTCCTTAGACCCGAAAAATTTAATAAAAGGTTCACAACCTAATCTTAAAAAAAAATTTTTATTGGTTGAATTACTATTTATTTTAATGGAATTACCATTTTTTTTGGTGGAATTATTAATTTTATATGTCGAGCTTAAATATTATTCATTCTTTTATTATGTGAATTAGAATAGAACCATTTATCTGATCTTTCAGGATACTGGCCAGTCTGATTAAAAAACGATTTTATTGTCATGTGACAATTTATAATATTTATTCAAAGCCCAGTATCTGGCCCGAAATTCTATTTGATATTTAAATCAGGGTAATTCGATTTGGGGCGAACCGGATTGTCAGATCTATATAGGGCTATATTGTGAAAAGCCAATGTAAATAAATTATTTTTTTAGGTCCAGTTACCCAACTTAAGAAGGATTGTTAAAGCATTCGGAAAAGATAATAATAATTTTTTTTTTACCGTGTCGTATGAACCTTTGCCTGACCCGGTCCGAATAATTAGAAAAAATAGATTTATCAAGTGTGAACTAGAAAGTTGGGTTCAATCTAATTTATTAAGCATTATATAATGTTACGTATGTATCGTAAAAACGTTATTATAAGTGAAATAAAAAAAATCATTTGATAACATCTAAAAAATGCTTAACTAATCTTTAAATTTTATATAAAAAAAATTTTTTCCCCCCTAGTATACTCCACAATTGCTTAACCTTCTTAATCGCGTCCTCACGCAAAGATCCTTATAAATCTCCCGCATTTTATTCTATGGGTTACATGGTGTTAGCCATCAAAAGTGAGGCCCCAAAAATGTTTCCAAAAGTTTACGATTGCGTCAGGCTGGCACTTAGCTCTGTCAAAGACACCCCTGCCAAGTTTTTATAATTAGATGACATTTAATTTAACAGTTGCATATTGAATTATTAATTAATAAATGGACTATAATTTTGATGTTTGAAAAAGTAAAGGGAATGAGAAATATAAATAATAAGATTAATTTTGTTTTAAAAAAATTAATAAATATTAAATATACGATTTAAGAAAAAAGGGGGTGAATATGGATGGGGCCGTTTTCTCTTGTATTAAAATGCTCATAAAATCGTTAAAGGATACTGTCGAGACCCCAATCAAAGATATTATCGGCGATATTCAATCCTGCAATTTAAGGTTTTTTTTAGATTATAAACAAGTACAATAATATAACCAAAAAATTTATTAGTTTATTTTTCTGGCAATTTTTTGCATACTTGTCTCTTATCTCTCTTTTTTTTTGTAATAAACTATCTTAGCTTCCAAAAGGATACAATATTTAAAATAAATAATCGTTTTAAAGCCCGTCTCTAGTCACGTGTTTAGCAGATATATGCGTTTACATTCCTACCCTCAAACCAATGGTTCAAGAAAATTTGTTGAATTACATCACTTCGATAATCATGTGCAAACCTTATTTCTATTACTCAAATACAGTTTCTCGCCCATCTTCGGCTTATTCAATACCATGTAAAAAAATGGCTAGGACAGATGATTTTATTTTTAAATATTGTCACCCTCCAAAATAATAATAATCCTGTAGTTTTATATATCGTCTGCTTGTAATGCAAATCCTCATACAAAATTGATTTTATTTTTGATGTAAAGTTAATTTGTTAAGAGTATATATAGCTCGTATACTTTTAATAAACATATATGAAAGTGTTTGAAAGTTCTGAATAATTTTCATGATGGAGGGAATAGATTTTTTCTTGGAGTTATATGTCCCTTTTTTCCCATTAAATAAACAGAAATGATTATTTTTAAATTAACCTGATATATATATATATAATATTATAAGCCCTTATATCGAACGAAATTCCGGTTATGATTGGAGCCATGGAACTAGAAAGATTGGCATTAGCGATTAGAACACTAAGAAACTTCGATTTTGAAGGTTTATCTGTTAATTTATTGTTTGTTCTTACTTATAACTAATGACTAAAATTTAAAATAATTAAAAAATGATATTGACCATGTATGTTGACTATGAGATGACTACATAAGTTTCTCCATGTTAGAGGACCGACCATTATTGGAACCTAATTAATTTTAAATATTTGTATATTAATAAAAAAAAATTGGAATATATCTCTTTTATAAATGAAAGGTTATTTGAAATCATTAAATTTATAAACTCATTTGATAAATTTATTTAAACAGGACATCCCTTATTGGAATTGATTAAGTATATAGCTGACCATAATTTAAACATGGAATCCAAAGAGATTAGAATCGAATCAATTAAGACCTGCTTCAAATTATTATATAAATCAACTCAGGTTTGATTTATATATGTATATATTAAATTTTAATCGAATTTATCAATAAAACACAATATATAAATATTTTAATTTATAAATGTTAAAATATCGCGATCCTTAAAATTTTTTAAAAATATCAATTATAAGGTTCTAACTCCATTTTTAGTCGAAATTGAATCAGGGTTAAAATTTTATCCTTATAGAAGGCTGGGATAGTCCTCTACATAAAATAATAATTTTGAATGTGCTTCTTTTCTAATAATGTTAACTAGATCAAGATTGTAATAAGTTACGATATTTGTATTTTTTTTTGGAAATTGTTGAAATAATAATTTAGTATAAATAATTTTAAACACTTTTAAATATTTTCACTTGTTTAATATTTTTTTTAAGGTATTATTTGTTTAGCCATTGTACAAATATATTTTTTTAATAAATTAATCTTTTTTAATAATTTAAGGCCGAGAACTTTAATCCTTTAGCCTTTGACAAGAGCAGAAACGATATATTATCCGACATCCTAGATAAGTTGATACCCATCGGCGTAAATGATAAAAGTATTTGGAATTCGTTTTATAAATATTTTTGATTCTGACAGTGACGTTTCCAGAATTTTGTTTCAGAGGGTTAGGGTGAGGGTCAAAAAAATAATAAATTACATAATATTTTAATAATGAAATCCCGTTTATAAGATAAGGTACACCACTGGATTCTATTACATAAACAACGAATGATCTTATTTTATTAATTGTCTTACAGAAGCTAGTGTAAGACTGGCTGTCTTTGAGTCCATTGACGATTGTTACGACGTCTACTTGGTTCAACCCAAGCACTTAACCGTGTTTTTCATGGCGTTCCACGACGAAAATTTTGAGATTCGGGAAAACGTTCTGTGCATACTAGGAAGATTAAGCACGGTAGACCCCTCCACCGTTTTGCCTATCCTGAGAAAGTTCTTGATACAGGTTAACATTTTTATATTACAATTTTTTTTCTATAAAATTTAGCGCATAGAAAAGTGAAATTAGTGTTTTAAAACCACGATTTAGGCCGATTTTTAAAAATGGCCCGATTAAGATTATAACCAAAATAATATTATGTGAGCCTGAAGATTTTGCTCATAGTTGGCAGAAAGGTTCGGATATCTATTTGCCATATTTCGAGACTTACATAATATTATTTTGGTTATAATATTAATCTGACTTTATCACAACACTAGTTAGAATATAAATTTTTTAAAAAAAATTTTCTCAGTTACTTTGGTGAATTGCCATTGTAATGACTTCCATAAACCTAAATATAAAAATCATAAAATCAAGGCTCAGCCAAATCGAGTCAGTAGATCAGAGAGGTCTATCTAGATCCATATAGGGCTTTAGTGCGTATGCATTCATTTATCAAAAATAAAACTTTTTAATCTTGCGTGCAATTATGCTAAACAATATTAAATTTATGTATCAAACATTTTAATATTAAAACTCAGTTGTTATCAAATATTAACGATAGCGGTATCGGACGAAACAAAGAGCACAGTGCTCGGCTTCTCGCATTAATGATCGCTAACGTTCCTAGACTCGTCTATTTATACGTTCCCACAATTCTCAAAGTATTTATATCAAAGAATTTTGTAACAGTTTTTACGCGGATCATATATATTTTAGTATTCTAAAGTAATTTTTTTGTTGTTACAATTTTAATAGTTGATTTAAACACTAAAAAAAAGGAAGGTTTAACTTTTACAAATTGATTGTTTTTATTTACCTTGTAAGATGCTTATTTATTGTTTTAGGAGAATATCAAAATTCGAAACTAAATAGGAATTTAATTAAAATAGCTATATTTGTTCATTTATAGGTCATAAATCCTGTATTAAAAGATCCGGGTCCTTATGCAGGAGTTACCATTAATTCATTGGCGGCTATCGGAGAGTTAGCTTTGGTATCTATAAATCATTTTATTTACATTTATTTATTTTAACGGCATATCATTGGTTAAGGTTACGTTTCATCCTTGGCTCTGGTCGGACCGGATCGGACCATGGTCTTTAAAAAGATCTATCCAGACCGTGTTCCTAAATTAAAAGACCGGTCCTTTTATATTTTTGTTATTTAAAATTTTATTTTGTTTTTACCGACAAACTTATGATTTTCATATTGCAAAATAAAAATATAAATTCACAAAAACTAAAATAACTAGAAAATTAACAAAATAAAATGTACAAAAAAAAATTAGGTATAAAGAAATATGTTAATTGAATAGTAAAGCAAACTTAAATATTGATAGAAGACCAGTTGTTAAAAATTAAAACTGGTCCAGACTTCGATCCTTAAAAAGAAGATCTAGGTCTCAAACCGATAGAACCGGACCGTTGACCTTCGCTACATATCATCATTGAAAAACAAAATGCTAATAAATCGATAAAATTGATTTTTTTTAATATTTGGATTTTAAAAATTGCCTCACATTTTTACCATTAAAAAAAAAGCACAAAATATTTATATACTTATAAGGTGTGCGGAGCTCAAACAAAACAATGGAATTACGAATTATTCGCCATAGTTATGGATATGCTAAAAGAAAATAATTTACCAAGCATTAGAGAGGTCTGATAAATATCTTTATAATTGTAATATTTATATATAAAATAAATTTACATGCCTCAGGTTAGTGTTGTTAAACGGCTCGATTTGGGCCCATTTTAAAAAAGGGCTAACTCAATATTTTAAACAGATATATATTACAACAAGCTTGGAGATCTTCCTCAAAGATGGACAAAAGCTTGTACATCTATTAGCGAAATCTCGAGGCTTAGGTAATATTTTTCTGTCTGAAATATTGAGTTATTCCTTTTTAAAAATCGGTTCAAATCGAGCTTAACAAGACTATCTCAGCTTCTTTAAATCAAAATAATAATTTTTTTTAAACTTATTAATTTTGATAAAGGAAAGAATATTAAACTGATATTAGATTATAAAGATTGAGGTCTGGTCAGCTGATTCTGATCGGGTATAATTATAATGGTAAGATTTATTTTATTTTAAAAAAACAAACTATTCTAGGTTGCTTTATGGACTTTGGGGCAATTGGTGGAAAGCGGTGGATACGTGATGCAGCCTTATACCGATTTCCCTTTTCTTTTAGAAATTTTTTTGAACTACCTGCGGTACGAACAAGTTTATAGGATTAGATTCGAGGTTTAATAACAAGAATTTTATTTTAAAATATTTATCTTCTTTTTATAAATTACATTGGAAATTCAAAATTTTTTGTTTTCCCAATATCGCGGATATAAAATTATGCCAAACGATTATAAAAAAAAATTAATGCTATAAAATAAAAATTATTATCACAGAACCATTTTGTTACAATTTTGCCTATGATTCTTATTTAAATATCAATATTCACCTTCATGGGTGACCTCTGGTAGTAGTGTAGTTTACACTCTATCAATAATTCATTTTTATAAATTAATTAAATCGGTTTTTTAAAAAAATCCCTTCTGATTCCCCTTTTCCATTTTACATGACCTCGTGCATCAATATCGATGATTCTACTTTTAATAAATTCTGTAAATATTGGTTCTAAATATCAAATCTTTATTAAAATGATAGCACGGTTTATTAGAACCTTGAATAGGCCTGAAGTCCATGCCGAAAAAAAATAATTTAAATTTGTTACATCGAACTCACTAAGGAACCGTATCATAAGGCTCTCTACTATACTATAGATTGTTATCTGAAATATCTAGTACAAAAACAGCTTCTTTTTTTGAAGGTTTTTTTAAATTATACTAAATTACCTATAACTAGACCTGTGCGCCGACGAAACTATCGGCGGCCGGCACAATTTTCAAAAATCTAATCGACGGCTGGCGGCGCGCCGATTTTTAGCCGCCGTCAATAAAATCGGCGTTAATAGGCGCAGTTATAAATTTTTATAACATAAATTTTTTTAATTGCTTATTAATTTTTTTAAAAAAAAACAAATGAATATACACTATTCTACAGATATCTCGGCATATTTTTTAATATTCATTTAATAGAAAACTTATTATATCCTAAATCGGTTTCATAATTTTATAATTATCATGTATAAAAATTATCTTATTTAAATTTTCGGGACATAATGATGATCACCTTGAATTTAACGTCAATCCAGCGGTAGAGAAAACTCTTTCACTAGGTGTGCTAGTCGCCGGAATGCAAAGAATTTTTTTGGCGAGCCTGAAAAGATTGTGAAGTTTACTCTTCTTTTCACTCCAAAAATTTAGAACGTCCATATCTTGTGAATGTCATTTTCCAAGAAAACTTCTTCTAAATCACCTAACTTGCAATCATGATTTATATTTGTTGTATGTTTATTTGCCAATTTTGCCAAATAACTTGAATTTAATAATTCATCTTCATCCTCATTAGCTATATTTACTACCTGATTATCATCATTCTCTATAAGTTTAAGATGTTTATTATAAATTCTGAAGCTGAACTATTTTGCTCTATTAAATACTTTGACACAATTGTCAATTTTTAAAATCTTGGATCTAAAAGAGAAGCCAATACCTAGATAATTTTAAATAAAAAATAAAAGAATATACTTATATATTATTACTTGCAGATTACACGGAAATCGTAACGCAAGTTTTTTTAGGAAATTTTCCTTAAGTGAAATAATTTCAGAACTATCACTATCATTTACTATTAAATGTGCTTCAATTTCCAAAGTGTTGGGCTTGGGACATTTAATTTTAAGGTTTTCATATACGTGGAATTATTGTTATTATTATCATTGGAATTGCCAATTTGAAAACGGGTACCCCGGTATGGATCAATGCTGTCAAGATCTAACATATCTGATATTAAATCTATTGTACTTTGACATTTTCTTTGATATTTCTCGAAATCAAATTCAACCTCTCCAGTTTTATGTCTTAGAACAAATAATTTTTTTAATACTTTTGCAAAAAATTTCCAGACTATGGATTTTTTATTATATACTAAAATTATTAATAGAATTATTAAATGTAGATTCCATTTTAAAAATATGTAAAATTATGGTAACTTTTGGAATTTTAGATTTTTGATTGATTGAATTCTATAATGACGTCAATATAATTATGATTTTAAATTGTAGAAAATAAAAATTCATCAAAATCCTGATTGACATTAAAAAATAACAAGAGGGATGTTGACCAATTATTAGAATAAAAAGGTATAAAATATGAAAGAAATTTCTGCGCCGGCAGTGCGAAGCCGACATGAAAAAACGGCGGCGTTTTAGGCGTAACCAAAAAAAGTCACAGGTCTACCTATAACATTTCATTTATCCAATCTTTTATAATAAACGCGAATATAAACCCACTTATAAGGTTTAGTTCTAAAACGGTAAATAGCGGCCAATCATTAACGTCAGTACCCCATTTGATGGATCAGATACATTTTGAAAAAAAGTTTTTTGACACGATGAAAACCGATTTAGAAACCTTGACGACCGTGACAATTAATTGATGTCGAGCTAATGAAAATCATTTTTTTTGAAAAGTACAGTCTGAACTCGAACGACGGATCTTAAATAAAACAAACATTACAAAAATATACTTCTCGAGAAAAACGAGATCAAAATTCCCCTTACATCGGGATAACGTTATTTAACGCATACAATAATGGATCATTTTTTTTCCTAGTATTTTGAATTATTTTTTTTAGACAATCAGAGTTATGGGTATTATTGGGGCCATCGATCCCTTCATATACAAGAACAATATCGAGGCACGTCAATTCACAAAGGCGAAAACCGGAATGACCAGAGACATAAAAATATATCCGGAAGATATTTCGGATATAGATAATTTACCGGAAGGTAATGTCATTACTCTCATATAATGAAAAAGAAGTTATTTTCGCTATATTTTAATATTAAATGCGATTCTTTTGATGAAATTGATATAGTACATGCCCAATTTAATCTCGAGGGACCAACCTAAATTTTTTATTCTAAAACGATGATAAATTTTACGGCTTTTTTTAGTATTTTAAATTTGTTTAATAGTATTTTTAAAAAAACTTATAAAATAATCAATGTATGATTTAATTTTAAGATTATTACCATTTCCTCATTCCTAGTTATCTACTATTTTCATGGGTTTATTAATTAATCTTGCGATTTAGATTTATCCGTCAATGAAATATGGGTAAGCGTGAGTGCCTCCCTAGAAGACTTTTACCCCTGCGCCGCCATTTCTTGCCTGATGAAGATAATCAAGGATCCTTCCCTCAACCAACATCACACCATTTCGGTTCAGGCGATCACCTTCATATTTAAAAGCTTAGGTCCCAAATCCCATTTGTACATCAATAAGGTTGTTCCAACCTATTTGGCCTTGATTAAAAGTTCTGATAGCACCAGAGAAGTACTATATAACTATTTCTTTAAACTATTTATACTAATTACTAATGTTGTTAAAATATAATTTTTGCGAGAATGTTATCCTAACTAATCACATTTGAAATGGAATGCAACTACAAAATTAAAGTCTTACTTTTTATAATATGTTAAATATTTATATATATGTCGTATTGGGATATGAAATCCATGGGGATACGGAATATCTCAATTTTAAATCATTTACTGAGGTAAATTTTTAAATTTCAAAAATCTAATTTGATAGGAAAAGTATTTCAGTATATATAGGGTACTCACTGTGAATTTCAAATTTTACCGTGAACCTTTGAACTAGTCGTAATTTATATTGATTTTTATATAGAATTGTAATATAAATTAATAAATAAAAAAAATTTATGGCGAAAATTGTCCAAAATTATTAGGTACTCTACACATTCTAGAATACCGGGTAAACAGAATTTTAAAATTTCAGAATTACCCTCGGTAAATGATATAAAATCGAGAGATATGGATTCCTTATTCCAATGAGACATTATTATATATAATATCTCATTTATACCCAGTAATTCTGAGGAAACCTTATTTTTAAGAAAAAACTTATCCGCCTAAATTTTGAAACTAGTTTATTATTGTTAATAAAGACAAACAAAATTTAAAGCAAAATATTTTATAAAAAATAATGGCTGATTCTTTAACTATTTTTTTCTTCGGTGCAATTATGATATTTTTTATAGTACATATTATTATATTATGAGTATGTTTTTTTTTCAGTGCAAATATTTCTTTATTTTAATTGAACTCCATTTAAATTACTGATTACAAATCGCAAAATTATTTTGTATAGTGGATAGATTACATTAAAAATGATGAGTTTTAAATAATTTATAACTTGTAATGTAACTAATTACTTTTGGAGAAATTAACAAATTACATTTTTAAGGGTATAATTTGTAACGCTAACTAGTGTAGTTACTTTCAAGAAAGTAATTTTTAACTACACTCTTAATTGCGTGATTGGTAGTTGAAAAATGTATCGAAATGTTGTTTGATAAAAACTTAAATTTTACGTAACCAATATCCATTCATTGAAGAATTATAAAAAATTTTTATTTTATGAAAGTTTATGTTCCAGCAGCTAGCCATCATAGTCACTCTAGTGAAATATCACATGAGAAATTACTTGAAAGAAATCTGCGAAGGTATCAAAAATTACTGGGAACAAAGCGTAAGTCTTCAGGCCATTCTGATATCCCTACTGCATCAACTTGCGCTTAATATAGGCGCAGATTTAAGGCCCTACATATCGGATCTGCTACCAAATTTCTTGAAAGTTCTCAATTACGACAATTCGGCCGGCAGGACCAATACCCAAAAAGTAAAAAAAATTGTCTAAAAAAAAAGAGTGGACCCGCAGCCCCAGATTAAAGCCTTAAAATTAAAAAATTTAAAAAAAAACCCGGACCTGATTCAAAAATAATAATTTTTTTCTTACAAAACCCGAGCCAAGGTTTATTTATCAATAATATCTTCTTTCGGCTGGTTTGAAAATTCGCAAAAATAAAAACGAATCTTTTCTAGAATAATTTTTAGGACATGTTTTTATTTTTATGTAAAAAATACCTTATTTCTTTTTTTTTTGTTAAAGCTTCGAAAGTTTACGAATTATATTCTTGATATTAAAGATATAGCCTTAAATTAGTTTTTTTTTTCCATTTTTTGGAAATTTTTCTTTAAATTGGAAAATCATTATAGAGGGTTTAATATTTAAATATGTATTTACTGCTCATTTTTTTATACTTCCTAAAATACGGCCAAAATTATTCAAAAATGAAGGAAATTTTAAAAAATTCTTGACAAATAACAAAATCCTGGCCTAAAAAAATTTTCCTCAAAAAAGTACTATGAGCTTAAAAAATAATATATATTTTTTTAACATAATTCGGACAGGACCTAAGATTTCAACTTTATCAAACGCTAATAAGTTTTATAATTTTTTTTTACAAAAAAATTATTATTTATTTAGCTGCTATCCACCTTTCAGATTTTGGGTAATTTTTTCGAAAATTACATTCACATAATCTTGCCTCCCATAATACAGATAACGACGTCTTCCGAAATTCCCTTGAACGTGAGGAAGTGAGCATTTTAAAGCGCAATTCTTTAAAAAAAAAACCATTGAATAAAATAAATTGCACGAAGGCAATAACATTCATTAAGAAATACTAATTATAAAACGAAAATAGAGGAAGAAAGAAATGATAGATAATTTGTTGATTAATTATGATAAAAATTAGAATTAGGTTAAGTTTGAATTAACAAGATACCTTTAACTAAAACCTATATAAAATTATATAATAAAGGAAAAAAAATTGGCATTAAATTTAAAAAAACTTCGGTATTCTATAGTTCTTTCATAAAATATGTTATAATAAATCTTCAATTTATTTAAATGAAGATTAAAGGGGCTCAAAAATCCTCAAAATTGTTTCAACTTATTATTAAAAATAACTTAAAGAACGGCCGTAGAAACGATCAATTCCTTTTTAAAATGCATAGACATGACCGAATTTTGTTGTACCATCATCCATCCAATTCTGTCCCTTATAGATAACACTAATTCCGTATCACTAACTAATCCTTCCACCGGTTCAAATTACAACGGAACAACACTGAGTTTATCATCAACCAACCCGATACCCTCTTTACCATCTTTTTCTTTGCAAAATCTGCCCCAAAGTTTTCAACAAACCATCGGAACTGCCACACCTGCGTCAGGGGGCACTCAACAAACAGTTGGTAGCACTGTAATGACCTTCGAAAAGTTATAAATAAAAACATATGAATGATTTTATTATACCATATATCATCACCCACCCTAGCTATTAAGCTCCCGTAAGGTTTTACCACTTCACATCTTTTGTTTTCGGATCCTATATATTAACTATTACCACTTTTAACTTTTTAAATTACTTATTTCCTCGAGGAACTTATATATATATACAAATTCAAGCTATAATAGACCCGGATTTAACAGCGAATTAAGGATGGAAGCCTTGAAAGTTTTAACGTGTTTGCTAGCTCAAAACGGAAAACAATTTATAACCCTTTTTTCGCCCTGCGTTGCCCAAGTTATGGTCAAGAACAGTATATCCTACCCTCCTTACGAAACATTGATCATCAAAATAGTAAATTGCATTTGGGGGGGGGGGGAGTTTTTAAAATTTAAATGTCGATATATTTGTCATATTGCTTTAAATAAAAAAATAGAATTCTTGTAAGTTTAAAACATAATATTTTAAAGATCAGCGAAATAAAGGTCATTTCAATCCATTTATTTTAATAGGAAAAATATTGTTTTTTTCTTCTTAAATTGGGCATAACTAAAATAAGTTAAAAATAAAAATAAAATAATCTTTTTAATATTTATACAAAAAAAAAGTCAAACGATCTAGTCAATACCTTTGACGAGAGAAAGGATACCCTATCTCGTTACGATAAATTGCCAACGAATATAGATGATACCTCCACGAAAACCAGGATGGATGTCGTGCCTATCAAAAAACTTAACATCAATGCCGGGAATCTACAAAGGGTTTAACTTATATTAACATGCCATTTTTCTTCTTCTTTCTTTGATGCAAAGGAAGGAAAGAATGAAAATTTTTTTTGGCAATGCTTAATCTCTTTATCATTTAGGGCTAAAAGGGCACAAGTATTAAGGCAACGATTATAACGCGATATCTCCTATCCTTTACCACGAGAAAACATAAAAAAATCAGGCAAATACGTGGGACGATATCCCGCTATAATAACACTTACTATAAATTAGATTTACACTTGATGCCAAGACGGTATCCCCGATATCTATCATCGATATGATACCAAAAAAATTTATTATTACATTTTTGCTTACTGATGAGGTTGGTATCTCATCTCCAAACAACTTTTTTTTCAAAGCAGTTTTTGAGGCGTTTCCAGATTTTTTTTAAAATATACAAACAAAATGATTTGTTGCTGTATTTTATTTAAAAACAAGGTATTTCTAAATCGTTATTAAAAATTAAACTGACCGGCAAATTATTATCCTTTGTATGGAAATAAAGAAAAATTACTGGAAATGGCCTAAGAACCCTATTTGAAAAAACATTATTGTTATATCTATATTTAAGTATAGTTTACTTATTATATATGTTCAAGATCATTTTAGTTTTATTATTATTTCGGTTCTATATATTAATTTAAATGTTATATATAAAATACTTTACAACCTTTCAATATATTATGCAAATATATTATAAAACATATCTCGCTAGTTCTTACATTAAAAAAACACAATATATAATAATTATAGCTAATCAGAAATAAAGTCATTTAAAATGGGAACATGAAACTATAGTAGTTATTTTTGGAAATTGCCTTAGGTGTGGCTTATAATAAACCTTATTTTCTCAAATGGGAGATAATTTAAATTTCATCAAGTTTAATTCCCTAAGCGAAACCACACCATTATTCTCCGTTTATCAATCTAGAATAATGCGACACTGTTTTGTATATTTCAAAAAAATATTTTTTAGGCTTGGATAGTAAAAGGGCGCATATCGAAGGATGATTGGGTAGAATGGTTGAAAAAATTGAGCATCGATATTTTGAAGGAATCGCCTTCACCTTCTTTAAGATCTTGTTGGGCTCTGGCTCAAAATTACGCTCCTCTTGCCAAGTAAAAAAAATTTAAATAATATACGATACTGAATCTAACATTCATGTAAATGCATTTTTATAAATGAATGTTCAAAATAAAACTTTGTTTATGAAATCTTGTCTGGGTTTATATTATTTCAGGGATTTGTTTAATGCCTCCTTTGTTTCCTGTTGGATGGATTTGAGTGAACATTATCAAGATGATTTGATCGATAATCTTCAAGAGGCGCTCCTTAACTCGGACGTTTCCGAGGTCGTACTCACCGTTCTAAACTTGGCGGAATTTATGGATCACTGCGAAAAGGTTTTTTTTCCTTGGACAAAAGTCCTAAAATGTCCTTTGTTAACTTATATCTTCGATAACATAAAAATGGCGATAATCGTAAAAATGCATTTTCGCCAAAGCATGCGTAGTAAATTTTGCGAAATTAAAATTTTGTTAATTCGCGCAATTTTAATGTCTGCGAAGACGTAGGCTTAAGAAGCTAGCATTTTGATCATTTAATCTTAAATTTCGAGGTGTGCGCATATGGGAAGGGGGGGGGGTATTAATAAAAAATGAAAACTAACCCCTTGATCGATATAAAAATATTTCACTGAATATAAGTATTAAGTTATTCATACAATATCCAAGGCAAAACTCTAAAGATAAAAGATGTATATTATATACTATTCATCTATTAACAAATTTATTAATATTAAGGGCCCTCTCCCTTTGGATACGATTTTGTTAGGTCAGCAGGCCCTTAGATACAGGGCATACGCCAAAGCTCTACGATATAAAGAGGAAGAATTTTATAAAGGGGCTACTCCAGAAATACTAGAATCTCTCATATGGTAAAAAAATGTTCTTATACATTAGAAATTAAAAAAAAATCTAATCCTAGAATTGTAAGTGTCTATATGCTTGAAGTGAGTATTTTAAATCTTACGACATCTATAATCTCGTCCAAAAAGAATTAAATTTTGAAACCTTATACTTAAATTTGTAAATTATAAAGAAAATCACTTTAAAGATTATTTTTTTAAATAAGATTTGAGAATTGGGATATGACATCCATTTTTAAATTTATTTAAATGTATAAATAAAAGCATTAACAACAAACTCAAAGCTACCGAGGCGTCAGCTGGCATATTGTGTTATGCGCTCAAATATTTTCCAGAAGAATTGGTTCCACTTTTTTAAATAACTTTTTTCCTCTTCTCTTTACAGATTTTGATTATTTTTTAATTTACCATAGTCACCACTCTATTTTAGATATAAAATTATTACATATTCTAAAGCTGACTACGCCATTTTTTAATTCATTGCCATCTTTATAATATAGTTAACTTTTTTTAGAGTTGTCTATAAAAATGCGACGATATTAATTTTAAATTCAAACAAAAATATCTAATGAAAATGAAATGGCTCAGAAATCTCACGAGGGTTGGTACGAAAAGCTTAACGAGTGGGATGCCGCCCTCCAGATATACAGCGCTAAAATGAAAACGGAACCTTCCAACGAAAACGTTAAAATGGGCGCGGCTATGTGCCTGGAAGCTCTCGGTGAATGGTAAAGTTTTATTCATTCAATCATTATCATACCCTTTTAAGCTTCTTTTAAGTTTAAATTCGAATTACTGAGGATATCACCATTAGGAGAGCCTCGCCAGGAAAAGCTTATTATGTTTAAATATATTTAGTAAGAGTAATTACTTATTATATATTTAGTAAGAGTAATTACTTACTATAATAATATTTTAATATTCGTATAACAAAATATAAATTGATTGAGATCAGAATTATTGAAAGCTACCTTATAAATGTATCGTGATACCGATGAGTGCATTAAGTCAAAATGGAAGTTTATTTTGTTTACTCGGATATGAGCTTTCATTTTTGAGTCATCCCCGTATATCCTTAAACACATTTTTAACCATACTAAAAAAAAAATTTAAACTGGTGCGCTTGAAGATAATGAAGTACTATTAATATATAACACCTTTTATTAGGATAATCTTTAAATATAGTAAAATAACGAAACTTATTTTAAAAATAACCATTCAAAGTTTGATGGCTGTTAAAATTTATATCCAGGGGGTCGTGAAAAAAAAATAATAATTATAAATGTTTATCAAAATAAAATCCCTTCAGATATTTAAGATTTCTGAAAATTTTTTTGAGAATGCTCAAGCAAAATTGATTTTTTTATGCACCTTCGATTTTTAGCTCAATTTTTGGCACAAAATTTTTGGTAAAAAAATCTTCGAAAAATCAAACTCTTGGTAAAATAAAATATTTTAAATCTTTCAATTTTTTTTCTCTTATATTTTCACTATAGTTCATTGACTAATCACCTTGTCAAATCTCATTATTTTACTTCAAATTTTATTGGATTTAAATCCAGTCAAGTTTTTTTAAAATTTACTGATGATATGTTTTGATTTTTTTCTGCTTCCTCGTCAGAATCACTAATAATCTATAAATTTATAATATATCTAAAAGTTATTAAACATCATTTACCATATTTGCGTCATCCACCACACAAAATAAATTCGATTGAAGAAAAATAAACTCGGCTAGTTGAATAAATTAGTTTTTAAAAAAACTTAAAATAAAAATGTATCTATAAGATACATTCACAATAGTTTTGTATCTAAATACTTTAACAACCCTGGTTCAAACACATGGACACAGTCTTCATTATATTTATAATAAAAAAAATTAAACCCCGATTTATTTTTTCCTTAGGTATAAACCTTATAGAAATTCCTATCCTTCAATTTTTAACGAACTAAAAAATGGACTGTTTTATGTTGTTTATTTTTTTTGAAATATTAACTGTATTCTAATCTAATTAGGAAATTTGGGAGAAAAAATAAATAAAAATGTTAGAAAGAAAGAATGAAAGAAAAAAAAGGAGAAATAATCTATTGTATTAGCCCAAATAAATTTTATATACTTTTATAACATTCCGTCAATTCATCGAGAACAATTTTATTTTAGGTCACAAGTTTTAGATTTAGTTGAAGATTATTGGCCCACGGAAAATGATAACCAATTGAAATTGGCTTCACTGGCTTGTTCCGCCGCTTGGGGAATGGGTATAATTATGTCTATTTATTGATCCTTATCCATTTTTGTAGACAGAAAAAAAAATTGATAAATTGTATTTCTAATAAGTTTTACTTTTAGTATAATATTTAATATTTTTAACAAAACCTAGTAAATAATATAACTACATTTAAACCTCTAAAAGATGACAACCTCCTTATTTTGACTACTTTAGTTTGGTAGCTCATGCCAAAATTTTATATCAATTTAATTTCGTAGTATGTTAACCAACCACCCATTCTTTTATATTGCCTAAAGTTCTTCCCTTGAACTTTCACCTTGTTGAGGTTTTATTATAATCCAAATTGCTATTTTGATATAAAGTGTAATTCTTTATAAAACATATAATTATTTAAATGGTGGGGAAAAAGGTGACATGAAAAATATGGAAAAATATATATCATTCCTACCCGATAAGATACAAGACGGGGCATTTTATAGAGCAATATTGAATATAACCAAAAACGATTTTACCAACGCTGGAATAGTACGTTACATATACCAATAACATACATTACATATTCTATTGTATAATCCATGGGGTAGAAAACCATTTTATATGCCAATTCCCCAAGGTTATAATTACGAGAAATAAAAATTAGCCTAACTCCCTATTCCTAAAAGAAAATAAATAGATAAAAGGAAAGAATTTAAAAAAAAGAAATATGGCAAAAATTTAATTACAGCCATCATTTAATTTAAATTTAAAATATTAATATAAGTATATCAGTAAATGTCGAGATTTGTTAGAGCCCGAGCTTTCGGCCTTTGCCTCGGAAAGTTATGAAAGGGCTTATAATTCAGTATTCATGGCTCAAATTTTGTCCGAGATGGAGGAAAGCATGCAATACAAACTGCTTCCAGATCGCAGAGGCGTTATCAAGAATATGTGGTGGGATAGACTCATGGTATAAATATCAACTTTTACTCCACATTTTTTTTTCACATTGTTTGACGATTTTTTTTTTAAAGTTACATTTTTTTTCTTCAAGAATTTTTGTAATGAACATTATATTATATCATATACCATAGCATTTTATTTTCATGTGATTTACTATATGTAAACGGATAAGGGTTCTCAAAAAATTCTAACCAGTTGGCACAAAAGTATACAAGTACATTCTTTAGTGATCACACCGTCGGAAGATCAAAAGGCATGGCTTAAATACGTCAGTCTTTGCAATAAAAATGGAAGATTCGTAAGTCTTACAAAATGATTATGTTTTTATTTTATATTTAATTAATGTGATTCGAATATTTTTTTAATTAAATTGTTTGCCTTTGCTTCATTTTAACTCTAGGACCGTAATTGCAATAGACCTTTCAATAAGTTTATGAGCCCCCCCCTCCCCCCCCCCCCACTTAGAGCGGAAATTTAAAATTAGTTTTGCAATTTATGGGCAATTAAAAATTAATCCTAATTTTTTTTTAAAAAAATGTGTAAATATTATTAGTTAGACCTACTACGATGAAGATGAATATTCTTTAATTTATCATATTCTAAAATTGATTTGATATAGTGATACAATGTATTGTATATACTCGTAATATTTGCTTTGAGAATTTGTAATGCGTAGACAAATTATCCCGGAAACTAAACCTTTGCCCCGTCCTTCCTCCCCCCACCCACTTACAAATATTTAAGATATTTTTTTTTGAGGACTAATTATTTTTAAATGAGGACTAATTATTTTTAAAGAAAGATGAAATATTATTCTGAATATTCACCTTATTTACTACTTTTTTAGTCATTATAAAATGAAAGCTTAGTTTGTTTAACTATTATTATCTTTTGTTTAACTATTATTATCTTTATCTTATTTGATATAATTAAATTATTTTTATCAAAATTTCTCCAGTCATTAGCGCAAAAAACGTTGGTCAAATTACTAGGCTTCGAACCCGCCAAACAATCTGACCGAGCCTTGATGTTAGCGAGTCCCCCGCTCGTTTTCTCTTACGTCAAATACATCTGGAAAATTGGGAATAAGGTTTATTTTAAAAAGAAATGGATTTTTAAAATAATTTTTTTTTTAATTTCAATTTTTGATTATGAATTATTCGAAAAAAAACGATTTTTGAATTAAAATTTTTTTATTAAAAAAATAAATAATATCGAGCAATACGATAAATTCGATTTGATATTATATTTTCTAGTAACTGGTATTGGACAATTAAAAGTTTCGTGTTAACATCTGGCGTATAAAAAAAAGTTAGCCATTTTTATTATTTTTAGTTAAGACGCAACTTGTCTAATCGAAACATTAAATTGGCCAATTTTACCTAGAACTAAATGTATGGTTTGGGCAGTATCGCAAATTATCTTAAATGCAATATATTGTATCTATTCATTTCTTTTGAATAAGTATCTTTTATCTATATCTTGAATACTTTTTTAAAAATGAGTATTTGTATCTTTAACTATTTAATATGCAAAAGAAACATAAACTTTTAATTTTTCATTATATTTTGATATATTAAAAAGTTAACTATATAATTTAAATCCTAAACTATTAAACATTTTTTTATAAAAATTTCGCACCAATAATTATTAACATTCTAATCATATCTTCCCCAAATAATAATTTGTTCAAATTTTTTAAGGTAATATATTATTAATATTTAATAAATAGATCTCAATAAATTTTTATAGTTTTCTTCTGCTTCGCTGAGGAATATATTAAACCAATGTATCTCTTCGCAAGAGCTATTAATAAGCTTCTGTGCCAAAATAAGTGATATTAGAGGAATTGGGTTCGAATTTTATTTGTTATAAAATATTCATAATTTATTTCAAATTGACTTATGTTTTTGCCTACTACTTGTTAAAGCCATTGTAATTGGGTTAAATAAAAGATTTGAAAGGATTTGTAATTTTAATTATGAATATATAATGGCTTTTTAGCCACCATTTCAAATCCTTGTTTTAAAATTAGATTGGTTGATAATGATGATAGGAAAGTATATGCAAAATTTTTTGCTTGATACAGCACATGCTATTTTTAAGGACAAGGTTAATGCATTTGAGTTGCCTAAATATTCATCCCCCTTTATTGAAGAGGATGATATTTTCGTTTTTACAATATATCTTCTAAAAATAATGAGGCTAATGAATGAACTGAAAATATTAAATTATATTAAAGACAGTTGTCATAATACCAACAACTTATATAAATATAAGCACATCAAGGAAATATTTTTAAGGTATAACAATATTTGCACCAGTCGAACGTTTATTTAGTTTTGCAAACTTGTCAATAAGCCAAATAGACATAGATTGTCAGATAAATTATTTGAGAAATTGATTATATTAAAAATAGAATTTATAAAATTTTAATGTAGTTTAAGGAATTTTTTTTTTGAATTATCATATAGTCCTAATAAATTACTTTTATATTATAATCATAATTGTAATATATTACATTATACACCTTATATTGAAAATAAAGTGAAATGAATATAAATAAAGTGTTTTGTTTAGCGTTATGTCTTATTACAATGTCCTAAAATATAAGTGCTAATATCGTGGGATTTATGTGTATAATACAACAAGAAATAAGACAAAGTTTTATTTTGAATTTATTTATTTTAAAATACAACTATATCTATCTAATAAATTTCATGTCTATATATACTTTTCCAAATTCAATTTAGTGATAACAATCAATGAAACTATTAATATTATGTAAAGTGAAAGAAATAATACAATAAGTCCGTGAGGTAAAAATTATAATATAATTTAAAATAAAACTCAAATATATTAACATTCTCCCCTCTGTTCTTTCTTCGACTTTTCTATGTTCCTCGCAATAGTCGTAGAATTTGCATCCAATCGTTTGTTGTACCTCATCCTGTGATTCTATTCTCGATCTCGGCGTTCAAATCGTTATCATAAACTCGTCGTTTAGTAATTAGAATAATTTAGTGAATGTCGAATATTGAATGGAATAAAAATAATAAAAGGAATTTATCGAATATAGAATAAAATTGGAATAATAGAATGAATTTGTCGAATATTAAATTGAATAAGAATTATTGAATTTTCTTGTTGTCTTATACTCTAAACTCCACTACTTTAGCATGGTGGCAGCGTGTGGAACCAAAAAATAAAATTAAAAGAAAGTTGTAAAATATTAAATCTAAATTAACTTCTTAAAAATTTATATAAAATCCAATACTATAAAATAAAAAAAAATCCTTAAAATAATGCATATCTGACCTCTGCTGGAAAGGAGTTAGCTACCCATGGCACCATGTCAAGTCAGTCTGCAGATCCTATCTAAAAAATACATAAAATAAACATGCTGGTTTCTCAAAAAGAAGGTAAAACACCAAATAAAAAATATATATTATTATTTTATCATTTTTATGATATTCTTATTATCATACTTTTAGTCATTTAATTATTTATTTTATTTATCAAGTTGGTAAATATTTAAGGCAATGTTATGGCCATCGGGATAATTTTTTATCCGTCATAGGTCATTGTAAAGATAAACATAATATATATAAATAAACAAAAAAAAATTAACGAAATAAAGATTTTTCTTAACCTTAAAAGGTCATTATAAAAATAGTTAAGTACAAGGTCGATGAACTTAAATTTTTTAAGGAAAGAGAAATTTATATATATATATATATATATATAATATAAACAAATAAATAACACATAAACGAAGAGATAAATGACAAATAAAAATGCCCAAATTATCATCGAATCTCCCAAATAATATTATTAAAACCTTTATACAATTATAATGTGCATTGTTAAATATATATAAAAAAAGAAGAGTATTAAAATTTTTTTTATTATTATGTCAAAAAAGACGACTTAACTGTTCCTAAGTTCCTTGGGGACATAAATCTACATCGATAGAATCACCAGATATCTAAATAAAAATAAAATTAACGACAGTATATATAACACAAAATCTTTCCGATAATATTTGCTTAAAACTACAATCTATAAGCTCAGAGGCTGAATTCAATAATTTTGATTCATTAATAAAAAAACTTAAAATAATATATCTTAAAAAAAACGTTAATAGTAAAATTCTATAAAGCAAGTCATAAGGATGAAAAATTTATAGGCAATCGATACTAACATTACTTTTGAATACTTTTCCAAATTCAATTTAGTGATAACAATCAATGAAACTATTAATATTATGTAAAGTGAAAGAAATATTACAAAAAGTTCGTGAGGTAAAAATTGAGTTAATATAACTTAAAATAAAACTCAAATTAACAATAAGGTTTAACATTATGTCAATAAAGTGTCTTCTTAAAGTATCTACATTAGATTTTTTTCAATTTTTTACCAAGTATTTGTATCTGTCTTTTATTGAACTTTATTAAAAAGCATATTATATATGCATTTAAAGAGTATTTATATCTTTACCTGAATCCTTTTAAAAAAAATTTCCATCTCTGGGATTTGGCAAAAGCGCGTAAAGCTATATAAGTTGGTATAATCTGTATTTTAAAATAGACCACGATAAAAGACAATTGGTAATATTGCTTTGGGTTAATGGGTCGATTAATATATTTATAAAATATACCAATATTATTAGCAGGACCTAAATAAGCGTAAGTTTTATTATATTATAACATTTGGAATATTTAAGAATAAGATACATGATATTTGTATCTATAACTATTTAAACTGTAAAAAATACCTAGATAACTTTAACTGTTTTTTTAATATTTATAAATTTAGAATATTTAGTATTATAGATTTAATTTAAAAAGAAATTAGACATTATTTTAAATCCGAGTTGAAATGTTTATTTTTATATTTTAAAATTCAACAATAAAAAAAAGTACCAGCTAATTGGAAAATCATTTTAAACAAATTCTTAGTATATTTCGTATGAATATATCGTGTCATCACCTATAAGGTTCTTAGTATAGTTGGGTAATTGGTTTATTTTTAGCTGGCTAAAAAACTGCTAACCTAGTTTTTCTGGACGAAATACCATCACCACATAAGGAACAAATAATTGTAGGACAGTAAATAAATGGGGGAAACTGTCTGGCTTACCCGTTTAAACCTGGAAAACGCCCTGAAAGATACCTCGCGCCTCAATGCTTATAAGATTTTATACCGGTCTAATTAGCCGATTTTTAGCTATTACCCAACTATACACCTTAATTAAATTCGTTATTTTATCGAATCTATAGGATATAGTATAGTTATTATTTTTTAGTATTATAATATAATACAATTTTTTTTAAAAAAAATGTCATAGAACGACGCTTATATAAAATTATCGACATTTGTATCAGACCACCTACAACCAAAATATTTGGAAATGCTTAAGACTCCTGAGACAACCAAGAAAAACGATTTTCGAATTTTACTATCCAAGTTTTTTTTCTTTTTTTCTTTCTTCAAATTAATAAGCTATTTTTTAAAAATACTTTTCTCCATAATTTTTTTTATGTATTTTTTTTTAGATGTTACTTGAAAATGGGACAATGGTCAGAAAATTTAAATGGTATCACAGAAGCTTCGATTCCTCAAATACTTAATTACTACGTTTCAGCTATAGACAATTCTAACAACTGGTACAAGGTAATATAATAATGCCCGTTAAAAATTTAGAGATTAATTTTTTAAACTCTTAAATGATAAATATAAATTATATTACGGGTTCTATATTATCCTTATATTACAATTAATCGAATATTTGCCGATATTTCACAAAACCAATCAGGTACCGATGCAGTTCTAAATTAAAAAAAATTAAATCCACTCTTATTATTTTTTTCAAAAATAAGTACCAAATACAATATTCTTATAAATTTAATCTTTTTTAAAAAAAATATTTAGGCTTGGCATGCTTGGGCCTGCATTAATTTCGAAGCCTTACTATACTACAAGCAAAAGGGCGTTTTACCTCCCGAAGATTCCCTTCTCACTAACACCGAGCACGCAAAGAGAACAGGCAAGGAAGCTCTAACCTCGAGCTCATCTACTTCACCCGTAAATTCATCGTCCGAATGTGAGGAGGAAGCCGAGACAATACCGGACACGTCAGAGATGTTAGAGTCTACGTCAAAATTTAGTATTTCTAGCCTTGAAGCATCAAAATTAGACTTGAAACTCGAAGAGAAGATACCTATTATTCGCAAAGAGATATCAAGAACTCCGATTGACGAATCAACTGCGGTAAGTTCTGAATGCCTTGTTATTACTAATATATTTTTTTCTTTAAATTTTAAATGTTCATTTGGAAATTTTCGAATTTTTTTTTAAAAATTATTTTCACTTTATTTACATAAAAATGGAACTATTAGTGAGCAAAATTAGATAGTTGACGCACAAATTACCCTCATGTTAATTTTACCAATTATTACGATATTATTTTTTTAAATTTAAAGTCACAGACATCGACCCAATCCAAACAAATGAAATTGATCCCTGAGGAATCGTTATCTTTATCTTTTCCTAGCAACATTCAAGCGAACATGTTGGGGCTTTTGCATTACATTATTTTAGCCGTAAAGGGTTTCATTCAATCCATCTCATTTTCTTACAGTTCTACGTCGCTGCAAGATACATTAAGGTTTAAAATTTTTACCATAGCTAAAGAAAAAACCTAGGTACCCGGCCCCCCAAATAAAATTTCCATCCTCTCACGTGACGAGTTTTTTGGGGAAGATATTTAAATGTGTTTTTCTTTAAAATTCAAAAGTATTAATATTTAGAAAAGGTAATTTTTAATAAAATATTGTACAGAAATTTACCTTTGATAAAAGAATATTAGCATTTTTGATTATGGCGATCCATGGACCTGATCGGGGATTGTTTTCCCATAGACGCTTTTAGTCCGTAGTTTGGTGCGAATTGACTGTAATTTCAATGGAAGCAAATAGAGGACCCTCTAATACAGGGGACAATGTGTGGCATGCGATAGACTCGCATTGGAGGGGGGGGGGTGTCATTAATCCTTTTTCTAAGTGAATTATGCTTATTTTAGTTCAAGGGGTCTCAGCACCAATGGCATAAGAGGAAAGGTTCTAAATATAATATTGCGTATATACTATAATTAGTGTTGAAAGGATGTAATAATTTTAATTTGTATCATTTGAAAATTTTATTTATAAAATATCTTTCGGCTCTAAAAAAATTAATGTGAAGAGAAGTTGATTACTGAAAAAGGAAGACCAAAACCAAAAGTTGAAAGAAGGGAAGGGGGTAAATATAAACTTGAACTCATTAATTTTTCTATCGACAAAACTTATGAAAAAAATATGAATGTTGTCAGAGTTGCAAGATACTCTTAAATTTTTAAAGACACAATTACAATTATTAGATATTTAAAATTAAATTTTTTTTTCAAAAATGATTTGCGATTTTAAAAAAAAATTATATAAATTTGGATTAAAAAAAATAAAACTTAATTGATTCACATATACTCCACCCATTAAATAAATAAAATTTTTAAAAAAGAGTTCCATAAGCTGGGCTTGTATAAATTTTTGAAACAGTTTTCTAGATAATAGTAATAACGCCGCCAATAACTTTCTTCATCCATAGAATCTAATTAAGTATAATACTGAAATTTATAATACTTTAGATTACTTACATTATGCTTCGATTATGGGCATTATCAGGAAGTGTATGATGCTCTGCAGGACGGAATTAGGATGATACGAATCGATAATTGGCTACAGGTTCCATCTAATATGATTTTTTAAATTTCTGTCAACCATTTTTTTTATAACTAGAAATAAAAAAAACGCGGTATATTTTAAACGTGATATGTTTAACGCTCAACACAAATAGGTTATTCCTCAATTGATCGCTAGAATTGATACTCCGCGATTTTTGGTCCACAAATTGATTCATCAGTTACTCATCGAAATAGGAAATCATCATCCTCAAGTCACATATAAATATATATTCCAATACAACTTGAAAATCTTATTATATTACTTAATTGGAAAATCTAAAAATTAAGATTCCATTTTATATCCTATCATTGTTGATAATATGTCTTTATTTTTTTTACCACTTTACGTTTCAAAGGCTTTAATTTATCCGTTGACAGTTGCTTCCAAATCTGATATTCCATCTCGGCAGATATCGGCTAAAAAGATTCTTCGTGCGTTGTGTGAAAACAACAATACACTGGTACAACAAGCTCTAATGGTAACAAAATTTCTCATTTCGTGAAATCTTTTTTTGTATAGTAGATTGAAAGTGTTTAAATTTAAATCCATTTTTAACACTAAGTATTGAATAAATTAACTAAACATAATTATATAGCTGCAGGCTAATTTTAAATTTAGCTTATTTTAGGAAGAAATAATATATATTATTTCTATTTTTATCGCTAGAAAATACCAAAATAACTAGTGTATGAGGTTTATTTTCCCATTACAAATATATGCCCCTCCAATTTTTTAAAATATTTTGTTATATGCAATTTTTTATTTAATTAAAAGCCAAAAAAAATTTTTCCCTCCACTGATACCTCCCACTTTCTTCACAGGCTTAGAAATAATAACTATTCTAAACTTTCGACTTATAATTTTTTTTAAACGATCAAATTTACAATAACCGAAAGGTAAGCGAAGAATTGATTCGTGTTTCCATTTTGTGGCACGAGCTATGGTACGAAGGACTCGAAGATGCCTCTAGACTCTACTTCGGTGAAAAAAATGTTAAAGGAATGTTATCTGTCCTTGAACCTTTACATACCATGATTGAAAAGGGACCACAAACCATCAAAGAGACATCTTTTAGTCAGGTATTTAAAACTAATCAAGTTTTTAGCATAAACTAATGGTGATGCAAAATCACGCCATTTAAGCCGATATATAAAACGGCTAACCCAATATTTTACCCAGAAAATATTGCTTAATCGAGATTTCGCAGATGTTCTAAACCTTTGTGCCATTTATGACTAAAATATTCAGGCTTGCGTAAGATTTTTTCTTGATAAAAGAGTAATTCCTTTTTAAAAATGGGCTCAAATTGGGCAATTTTGTATCTTATACGATAGATACTCTAAAAAAACTAATATATACTGTTCAATAATTTTACTACATATAGGCTTACGGACGGGATTTGTTGGAAGCCAAAGCCTGGTGTCATAAATACCTTCAAAGTGGTAATGTCAAGGACTTAACACAGGCCTGGGACTTGTATTATCATGTTTTCCGTAGAATTTCTAAAGAATTACCCCAAATTAGTAATCTTCAATTACAACACGTGTCTCCCAAGCTTATGGCGTGCAAGGATTTAGAGCTAGCCGTACCCGGGACTTACAAAATTTCTCAACCTCTTTCTATGACCCACAAAAAATATTCAAAACATCAGTCTAATAATCAATCAATTGATATATCTAGGCCTTCTCCCTTCGTTTTCGATTCTCCAATCAATATAACTACCTCATTAGTAAGAATATGCAAAATTCAGCCCTCTTTACAGGTTATAAGCTCCAAACAACGGCCCAGAAAGCTTAGAATTTTGGGTAATTGTATATACATTTTTTATATACGTTTTGATTTAATTATGCACGTATATTTATTTAATTATGCACGTGTATTTCTTTAAGAGAGGAAATATTTTATCAGGAAATCTTAACGTTAAGCTTTTAGTCATTATATCTCAGTCAAGATAGAGCCAGATAACTATTGCTTGGGTGTCCAAGAGTTTAATGGATACTTTTATGTTTATATATATATATTAAATACCACAAATTTAAATTTTTCACAAATTTATTTTTGTCTTTGAAGTTTTCCGCGATTTTATTTATTTATCTTCACAAATCAATACAAGAAGTTTTATATTTTTTTTAAAAAAAATAATTAAAAAAAAGATTAATTGTGTTTTTTTTCTCCTTTTTTTAGGGTTTATATAATTTCTAAAATTATTTAAATAAAAAAAAATATAATATTACTCCTTACAATGATGAATTGGTAAAAAATAAATAAATTTATTAATAATCAAACAATAATATAATATTCAACGATGACTCTAAAAAATTTAATTTTTATGACTAATAAAAAAAATACATATATAACAGATACAAAGGATTTTGAGATCATTTGATTTATTATATAAAATTGGATATAATTATATTCTCTAATTGAATGCACCAATCTATCTATTATCAAATTAATCAATACGGCAGGAGACGACGGAGTGGAATATTTGTTTTTGTTGAAAGGGCACGAAGACTTGAGACAGGATGAAAGAGTCATGCAATTATTCGGCCTCATCAACACCTTGCTCAAAAATGACGAGGAAACTGTCAGAAGAAATCTAGTGTATTTTATTTTAAATAAATTGTTTATTCATCACATGTTTATAAAATGATTATTTAAAGTCTTAAGATAAAATACACAAAAAAATCGTTTAGAAACTTCTTTCGCCCTCATTTTTTAAGCAAGCTTTATACTGAATAAAATTTAACGTTTTTTGACAATTATTCATCATTACGGAATGTAGAAATTTACTTTTATATAAATCTATTATAATTTGAAAGTGAGTATGGGTTTTATAGTGAATAACCAGCCTTGCAGTTTAAATTTAAACAAACTACAATTTTTTTTACAACTTAATGCTCAGATATCATAATTCGCATGGGATTTTTTGTTTGTATGACTGACTTAACTAGTTATCTAGTTGTTATACAATCTTAGTTCTTGAATATTCCCTCTCCCAATGTACTAATAAATTTTATTTATATTGGTTTTATTTTTTATATATAAACTTCTTATAATTCTACTTATTTATTTACCATTTTTCAAATATTACACGATCACATAATTCCTATAAAGCATTCAACGTTACGCCGTCGTCCCTCTCAGCACTAACAGCGGCCTTATAAGCTGGGTTCCTCATTGCGATACCCTTCACACCTGCGTTAAAGAATACAGGGAGAGCCGAAAAATCCTCCTGAACATAGAACATAAGATGATGTTACGTGCCGCACCAGACTACGAAAAGCTTGGTATTTTACACAAGACCGAAGTTTTAGAACACGCACTGCAGCATACCAAAGGAGACGATTTGGGCCGAATTCTTTGGTTAAGGAGCCCGCCTAATAGTCAGGACTGGTTCGAAAGACGCACCAATTTCACCCGATCGCTGGCCCTTATGTCGGTCGTAGGATACATATTAGGGCTAGGGGATCGGTATGGAACTAATTATATATATATCCGAGATTCTTTATTAAAATCTAAATGAATATGAGGCTAATTTAATTGAAATGGCTTATGGGCTACTCGTGCCTTTTCCTCAATGATATATACCAATTTTTTTCTCATATGTTACGTATACCATCAATTTTAGTCATCCGTCTAACTTGATGCTGGACCGAATAACTGGCAAAATATTACACATTGACTTTGGAGACTGCTTTGAAGTGGCTATGTCAAGAGAAAAATTTCCCGAGAAAGTACCTTTTAGATTGACTCGAATGCTAATCAATGCTATGGAGGTAAAAATACATTTATTATTTTCCCCAAATGAATTAATTTTGATTTTTACGAATTTAATCGAGACATTACACTAATAAAATTAAAACCTTGCTCACGGTTTAATTATGCCTATTAAATAAAATGGTAAAAGGTATCTGGAATTGAGGGTACATTTAGAATGACCTGTGAAAGAGTTATGGAAGTTTTGCAGATGAACAAAGATAGTGTTATGTCTGTATTAGAAGCATTCGTGTACGACCCTCTGATCAACTGGCGATTAATAGAATGTAAAAAAAAATATTTTATCAAATTATTAATTATATTAAGAGAATAAACTGAATTTTAGTTTTAAAACATTATAATTGGGCGTCAAACTTTCTATGAATTTGGTATTTAAAATATTTTATAGCTGAAGACCAACCGGAATCACTCAATCTCAAAGCATTAGCCGTTATCAAAAGAGTGAAAGAAAAATTAACTGGTCAGCATATTATATTTAGTTTTAATTCGATTTGAGATCGAGCTATCTTTTCCCCAAAATTATTTTATTCTTTTTTTAAATAAAATATCATTTAAAGTTGGTTTCTGATACTTATTTTTACTTCTTCAATATTTCATAAAACACTTGAATTTAGGAAAAGATTTTGACTCAAATATTATGTATGATATAAAAACCCAAATCGATTTGCTAATCAAACAAGCTACTTCCCATGAAAACTTGTGCCAAATGTACATAGGATGGTAAGCTGTTGAAAAAAATATAATTATTAAAATATTCCTATCTCACTCCTGGTTAAAAATATTATAATTATTATAACTTAGTTTTTAAAAATTTTAAATATAGTTAATATAGATATATTAGTAATTAATAGAAGTTTGGACTTTGGAACGATTTTGATATTTTACAAAAAGCTGTTCCAATTCCTAGATTTAAACTGCTCCCGATGCTTTAAGGAAGTATTTGCAAAATTTAAAACACTAAATAAAACCATCTTAAAATAATCAGACAAAATTTTGAACAACCTAATGTAAATTAGGGCAAGTTGTGGATGTTAGATTACTAGACTATAATTGGGTAATGGCTAATTAGGATCAATCTACAGGCGCTTGCAGGAAACATTCATTAACCATTTTAATTAATATTAGTTTCTTTCAAATTTAAGCTGCTATATTTTTGAAAAAACCTCCCGAAGCCACTTGACTAAAAATATAGTAAATAGTTCTGACTCCTAACTCTGTTATTTATAAAAAATTTTAAATATATCATAAATTTATATTGTAACATATTTTTTTTAGGTGCCCATTTTGGTAAAAAAAAATGAAAATAGTCTTGAAGTATTATGACCTTCCCGTTGAAATGTGATAAAATTATTTTTTTAAAAAAAATCTCTACTGTATTATTGAATAATATGTAGTTTAATTTTATGAGTTATTTATTCATATTTAAATGATAGTGCTTGATTATAAAATAATATATGGTAATTATGAAATTATAGAGTATTAGTAAATAAAAACGATCTTTATACTGACTTTGCTAGATTATATAACCATAAATTTTATTTTATTATAAATAATTATACAGATGTGAGATATAATAAATATATATATATTAATTTAATATAATTTTAAAAAAATATATAGTCCATGATAGCCGTTTATAAGATTTTTTTTGTTGGTGCAATAATAATTTATATTAATACTTTTGCATTTGATTAAACATTTAAGAAATACAAAAAAAGATGTCATAATTATATAATGAATTCAGTGGTGCTACTATCTCTTATTTATAGGTGCTTAAAAATATTATTATATTTTTGATTAACTAGAAAAATAAGCGCTTGTTTATCTAAATTTCATCCAATAATTGAGTTTTGATTTTTGTTTCTTCCTTGCTCTGATTTTGAGAATAAAATGACGAAAATACTAAATTTTCGAAAGAGGATGGCAATTTATGGTGAGAAATGATGTTGTTGAGACAATTAGATCTGGCCACGAAACTATTTAAAATAATAAATAATAATTTAAACATGATAATAAAAGAGTTAGATTCTTAAGGGCAGGTGGGGAAATATTTTTCTTACCACTTGGGGTGGCATGCAAATTTGGTTAATGATGCTTACTACCTTAAGATTCTACCTATCAAATTTGGATTTTGTTTATTTTTCAATTGGATAGGCACTACCAAATATATTTATAATATATAATTGAAAAATCGTGATTTTTGTAAAGCCTCTATGGCCTAGTAGGCAAGAGCTTCGCTTACTGATCCCATGATCGCTGGTTCAAATCCCGGGAATGGTCATGTTTTTTTTCTTAATCTAACTTGGTGGTTCCATCCTTGGGGGAATGATATATAGAAGGCCGGCTCGACCACGTGATTCTGTCTGGGCATTAATAATCTAATACGAGACATTAATGACCAATGCAAGCTAAATCTTCATAACTGGTATATCGACGATGGTATACTAGGCGGCCCACCGACTGAAGTTATGAAGGCAATCCAAATAATAAAATCCAGTTCTTATTAAACTACCTTTTAATTTCAAGAATAAAATATACACTCCGAGCGTCACGGATCTTTCAATATGACGTCAACCTCGCTTCAGGAGATTAAACGTCTAACAGAAGATATACTCAATCTTAAATTTGGGGAATTATCATGGCTACAGGCTACCTTACCAATCAAATCCGGCGGCATTGGTATAAAGTCATCTTCCCTATTTTCTGTTAGTGCGTTCATATCCTCTGTCAAACGTCGGTCAACTCCAAAGGCCGTCACTCTACACTGCAAGCGTTGTAAAGGCAGATTCATTAGGCATTCAAAATTCAATGATACCATTGCCAGGGCCTTAAAATCCGCCGGCATCCCATTAATTCTCGAACCTACTGGACTTTATAATTCAGATGGTAAGCGGCCCGATGGATGATCCCTTGGAAGAGGGGGAAATTCCTAACTTGGGATTTCTCATGCATCGATCCTCTTTCCCCTTCCAATATAAATAGAGATGCCATAGTAGATGCCGAGGCGAATAGATTAGCTAAATATTCGCCATCTCTTCCCGCCAATTATACATTCCTACCATTAATCGCCACTACTTTAACGTCGTTCGACTCTCGTGCCCTAGACTTCTTTAAAGAGCTAGGAAAACGGATCTCTGCTAGGACTGTGGATCCCAACGAGGAATTCTACCTACGCCAACGATTAGCCATAAATATAGTAAAATACAATTATCTCAGCTTTATTTTTTCAATATCCGAAACCCCGTAATTGAACATCCTATGCATAATATAGACTTTGGCCATTTTGTTGTCTATTATAATGTTAGCGCTAAAAGGGAACTTGAATCTCAATCAAAAATAGCAAGAATTAATGACTTTATATAATTGTGATTTACTAATATTATATTTTTTTACAATTATTATAACTTACCTTGATATAAATTGTCGATATAACGAAATTATAACATATGGGAGAATAAATTTAGATTATATTTTAAAAAAAATATAATATATTAAATAATAAGAGTCTTATTACATTTTAATAAATTTTGGTAGGTATTTAGCAAATTAGGTTGGTATTTATAATATTTCCATTCATTCACTTTGTAGTAAGCATCATTAACCTGCAAATTTATGGTATCAGCGGGTATTTGAAAATTAATTACTGAATTTCAAATATTGATATTATGTGTTAAATTTAATATAATATATATACTTGTGCTGAAACGATTTATTTTGGGATTTGATATATCGATTAGCGTTGAGAGCTGTTTGTCTAACTAGAGGGGCTAAACAGCTTTCGTCGACGATAGCACCATCAAACAATGGACCAAAATTTAGTTGTTCCTAAATTTTTTGAAAAAAACATATATCAATGTCGTCTATTAATTAATATATTTTTTAAAAAAATATTTGACTAGGATGTATGTAAATTTTTTTCAAAATTGATTAAGAAAGTAAATCCTTCTCGCGTCCGAAATAATAATAAGGAAATTGGAAAGGCAAATAAATTAAATTGTGGTTAATTTGTAATTTTTCAATACCGCTTTAATAAAAAATGGGGCTCAATTTTTGAAGACTAAATAAGGAATTTATAGATAAATATATGATAATTTTAGCCCCACTATCTATTGTTTTGGATAGGCTACAAAAAAAGTCTAAACTAAGGTCATTTAAACAACATTTAAAAAAGTTATGTTCACTTTTGCTACTTAAAGAAAGAAAGAAAGAAAGAAAGAAAGAAAATTAAATAAGTTATAAAAGAGAAAAATATTTAATCTGGCAATTCTATTTTTTGGATTCAATATCTCAGTATTATAACTCGATAATAGCAAGGGTGATATCGCAAACGATACATTTGTCTGAATTTTCTCATCGCTACGGAAGAGCGATACCATACTATAATCGCGCTCATTAATAATAAATATTAGGGGTAATCGAATGTCACTTATGATATATTTAAGGCTTCATTAGTAAGCGCGATGCGAAATTAATCGTTATGTAATTTACAAAAGCAAGTCAAAATCGTGACAGCTTGTATATTTCGAAAAATATTATAGCCATGGGGAATCAGTCGTGATTCCGTTAGCGATCAATTTCGCATCGCTTGAGCAAATCGCGCTTCCTATAAATGCAGCCTAACTGTAAAAAAAAATAGAACAAACCTTGTCACGAATTCTATTATTAATAATCCTAATCGAAAAAAGATTGTATTCCACCACGGGGTATATAATTATGAGAATATCGCAAAACTCTGTAGGAATGATGGATTTTCGGTAATCCCTAAAATGATCGGACCATACTACGTGAATCTCGTCGTTCCCTATGTGTTTCATCTTTTTGTTTGTTTGAAATTATAATATAAATAATAAAAGCGGCTCATTGGGCAATTTACAAAATTAGAATAAAAACAATTTACGATTTAATATTTCGACAAGTTCCTTTTTTTAAATATAATAAAAGTACTTCAGTTTACCTTCTGGCCTAACCTATTTATAACATTTCCCAAATCGAGCAGCTCGACCCGAAAAAATGAGACAACATTTCTCTAACCCTAGCTGAATTTCTATTATCTGTACTTTATATTATTTTCCTAGGAGTTTGAAGCCTGTCTTCTAAGTAGAGAATGGGAAAATTCCGTCCGGATTGTTCTTAAATCTTTCCTAAGATTAAAAAAGACCGGACCGGGATAAATGGTCTCAATTCTCTAGTTTCCAAGTTGATGCTTCAAACCGAATAGGCAATGAAATTAAATAAATCCTTTATAATGAATCATATAATTTTTTAAGCAATAATAGATATATTCTTTCCTTCACTCCTTTTCTTTCTTTCTAGATATTATAATATATAAAACCAAAAGTTTAAATTTACCTTAAAATGAATGTTTTCTTCATCTTTATCAACGCTATTCAATCTAGTGGCCACGTGATATATGATCTCAGTCAAAGGCGTAGCGTAATATATGCCATGCAAAGGTTGTTTCGTAGATACAGGGTTATTTGTTGCTGACGATATTAAACCACCATTGAATCCTTAATATTTATATATTATTCTTTAAAATATGATTGGCAAGAAAAACGTAACCAAATATAGGATGCGGCAGAGAATAATGGGAGTTATATCCCCAGACCGATTAAAATTAAAAATATTAAATTCGAGTTGAACTTTTTATAAATAAATTTTAATTATATCAAATAACCAGGTGAAAAATCATGTGATTTTTCAACTTTGTTTAAGCAGTCACCAAATTTTAAAAACCAGAGGAGAGAATAAATAATTCTTCAAAAAATTTGGGTGGTGTAGTTAGTTAAATCAATTCATCGTCAATATCATGATATTGATCTGATAATGGATAAATTATGATACTGTTAATTAGGCCTATTCAAAAACGAATCGAATAGTGCATTATTCATATTCGATTCGTTTAAACGAATCGAATAATTTACTATTTGAATTCGTACGAATAATAAAATCTACTATTTGTATTCGAATGGAATATTACGAATAATTCGAATTAATTTTTTTAATAAAATAAAATATATTGACAAATTTTTTTATTACAAATTTGATTTTAAACAGAAAATATTATAATAATAATCAATAATCTGATAATAAATAATGCATAATCAAGTTATAAACAAAATTAAAATGTATATTATTAATTTATTTTATAATTTAAGCCAATTTTTAAAGCAAAGAGTTTTTCTTTTATTTTCTTCATTATATGACATGCGGTTTTTTGACAATAAATTAGTTCCAACTGAGAAAAGCCTTTCACATGCAGTTGATGTTCCTTGTATAGATAGATATTCCCTTGCCATTTTCGAGAGCATGGGGATCCGATATGTATTTGCCTTCCACCACATATGAATCATTCTAATTATGTTTCTTAGTTTTAGAATTGAAGGAGCTAAAATTTTTAAAATTTCTTTGGATATTAAATTAATTACATGGGCAAAGCATCGGATGTGCCCTATTTTTATTAATGGATATTTTAAAGAAAATGTATCAATAAATGTTTTATTAGTTGCATTATCTAAAAGTTATATAAAAAATTTTATTCTCTAAATTATAAATTTTAATTATTTTAACAAAGGCTTTAAATATATTTTCACCTGAATGTGTTTCATTTATTGGATTGACATCCAAAATTATGTTATTTATTTTAAAATTATCATCAATAAAATGGGCTGTTAGCCTTAATAAAGGAACCTGTGTTGCTAGTCCAAATGTCAGATGAAAAATTAAACTGACTTTTATTTTTATATATTTTTCCTTTACCAACTGTTCTTTATCTGCAAATATATTATACATGTGCAATTTAAAAGTATTGGAGCTAAATGATTTTATAGAACAATCAAGATCACTTATAAAATTTTTAAAATCATTTGAATTAATAATTTTAAAAGGTATATTATTATTTATCAATAATTTTAATAAATTATCCTTAAAATTAATTTTTTTTTTGAAGAATTTGATGTAGACTTTAAAAAAATGTCAATTTTATTATTTTTTTTACTAAGGTGTGAATGAAACCTATTATAATGATTAATAAGAAGAGAGGTTGTTTTGCATTTACATTTTATAATACTCTTGCAATGATTGCAAGAAGCCTTTTCACCTTCTTTTAGGATTTGATATTGATCCCATATGATTGCTCTCTTTTGAGAGGAAATTTTCTCATCTTCAACATCAAGCATAATTTCATCAGAAGCATTCTCCTAGCATAATTAGGTTAGCTAACTATAATTATTGTTAGAGATGTAATATATTTTTATATACCTCTAGTTTGTTTAATTTTTAATATAATTTATTATGAGATTCAAAAAATAAACTTTTCATGAGATTAAAAAAATGTTGCAAATAAAAATTTTAATTTTCACTTCAGAAATTTTTAAATTTGTGCTAGAATCTTTATATACACATCACCTGTCAGATTGGCAGGTCAACAAATAGAAATGACAAATGTTAGATTTATTAAACAATTTATTAAAAATTATGAATAATTCGTTTTATTCGAATCGAATAAATATTATTCGTATTCAGATAAAACAAATAATTTATTATTCGTATTCGTAATTATTCGATAAGATTCGAATCGAATATTCAAATTATTTTTGAATAGGCCTACTGTTAATTTTCATTCATTCGTTTCGTTCAAAAGCATTTGTAATGACTGATAACTTATAAATTATAATACGTTTATAATAAGCGATGTGATATAGATTGTGAACCATGGCGAAAAGTTTATTTTAATCCGACAATCGTAGCCCGAAAGCCCGCCTGTCCATTATTTATAAAAAATTTACCCGACTTCTCATCTAAAAATTTTATTTAACTCGTTAGCTCAATGTTTAAAAATTATTTGATTACTCAAACTTATAAAATATACATTATTATAAAAATATTTTTAAATAAGCCCATTTTATCCATTTCACCCACAAAATATTTTTTTAATACACCACCCCACCCCACTATTTAAAAATATTTTTAACTGGCCCACCCGCCTTATGATTACAATTTTTTAACCAGCTCGTTGCAGACTTCTGTTTAGCCTAATGAACGGAAGGAATTTCCAATTAATTATTCAATTTTCTGACCATCTTTACAATTTTAATTAAATTCTATAATTATCACGGCTAATCATGTAGAAATGAAATTTGTTTAATATTTGTATATCCAAGAATATCAATCTTGTAATTATATCTTTGTTATTTGGAAATAATTTATACAATAATTTTATATGCCTAATAATGCGATCCAATTGAGCGTTAGCGTTCCGCAATGCAGTATCGTATAAATTGACCCTTTCTAAACATTAATAAAAATGCAAACTGGCTTGCTTATGTTTTTAAAAATGTTAAAGCACGTTGAACCAAGATTCGATTTGCATAAAACAATTGAGATTTGTTGTTTTAGAAAAAAACATTCATGGCCTAAGAATTCTAAAATTTAATAGCTTTAGGGCCGAAACCCCTAAAGTGGTCGTTATCAAAGGAATTATTAATTAAAAAGGAGTAATTATTAAATTTTCATTTTCGTTTCGTTTGGTAAATGCATTCGGGAAGGGAATTGCTGGAAATAAATATATCTATATATGTAAAATCCCAAGCTAATTCACTTTCCCCCATGAAAGGAATGAGTTTTATGCCATCTGGTCTTTTTTCGTTAGCTGCGTTGCGCTCTATAATTAAGAATCTTCCCTAATAGAGTATTGATTATTTGGTGTCGGATGAAAATTTATAAATACGCTTCTTTAATCAATATTATTTTCATTCCCTTGGTAATGACCACTTAGGGAATTTTGACCCCAAAGATATTAAATTTTTAAAACTTCTAAGCTGTAAAATATCATTAAAATCAAAATATCCTAATAAATCTTTTTATCTAAATCAATAAATCATACTTGCTATATTCACATCGAATCTAGCTTCTATTCATGGTTCAAAGCCTGTCAATGGCCTAATAAATTATTTTTTAATGTTCTTATCTCTTGTATTTTTGAAGTTTTTTAATGTTTATTTTTTATAATTTACACATTTTTTAAATGTTCTTTTACAATATATTCTTAAAAATACGTATTTTTATGCAAATTTAAAGAAAAACATTAATAACGATAAAGAAAAATAATGATATTTCCAATTTAAAAAAGATTAATATATCTTGTATCTAAGATACTCCACTATTTAATTTTGAAAGATAATTTATTTAAAAAAATTATATCTAGATCCTTTTTGAGCATATGAAAATTGAGAGTTGAAAGTATATTGAGTTTCATGACAGGCCCCTAGCCAGAAGATTACGATGAAGGGGTGCGGCGGCAAGGGTATATTGGGGGGGGGGAGGTTAAAATAAATTTAAAAACCATGTTTGAGAATTCAAAAAGGGTTTATTGATGAATCAAGATTATTCATAAAATATTTAAAATCCTAGTTTACAGTTTTAAATGATATATTATTATGTATAAAGAGTTCCCTAACAAAATATCTTTAAAATTATTTTTTATAGATGAAAAATTTAATGATATAGGGTTTTTAAAAAAATTAACGTTTCGGTAGTTGTAAAAGAAGATAAGCGATCTCAAGCCTATGAACTTAGCAATTGCGAACACTATCTTCATATTATAAAGACATGATAAATTAGGAAAACGGTCCAGGAACCACGCAATAAGATAAACAACTTAAAAATGTGAACAAACTGGGTGATTGTTGGGGTAAAATTTAGCGTTACAATATAAAATATTGGTAATGAACTACCGAATACCTTCTAGTACAGATGCTTGCTTCTAAGATCAAATAAGAGTGGTCTGAAATGCCTAATTATTGCAGGGATTGAAAATGTAATTTAGATGGCTCATTATATTATAACTGGTCAAGATTTCGGGAAAAATGAGATGCAACCAAGCTATTATTTGGGGAAATACAAGTTTTTACAAAATATTTGTATTGAAGAATTAATTTTTTTAGTCCCGATTTGAATACATTTTTAACTGAAAAACGAGGATTCTGTTATTACCTTTATGTTCATTAACATCGATAGTCATTCCGAGACCAGAAAGAAAATATTCGTACGATTTACTACCGCGCGTATTCGATAGAATGGACGCTTTGTCTTCTTGACCGTGCGCCACGTAAATGACAGCTATTTTGTACGTTTCTCGACTATAAATTTTTTTTTTTTTAAATTTTAATTCTTAAATTCGGAAATTAAAAATGATTCTAATTTGTTCCAGATTAAATCTAACAAGAAAGACTGTATTAGCATACGAATAAACAATTTAAGTATCATAAAATCTTTGCCGCATACCAATTCAAGGAATCTAGATGTTTAAGCTGCCTGATAAACTGTCCATTTTTGCGTATTAAATTTAAGCCAGATCGATTTCTTATGTTGAATAGTTCATTGTGGCGAAAAAATTGGCGGCAATTATACAAAAGCATAGTAGGGGAACGAGATCTTTGTTTTGAAATATCGATTAACTTTCGAGACGAATTTCGTAAATTATTTTTGTCGGCGCTCGACCAAGAATTCCTTGCCAATCTATCTTTCGCGGGGTAATTGAAGCTTTGGGATTTCGGTAGAGTGGCACTATTATTATCAGAGTCGGTGGTTGTTAATGGTATAGTTAATTCTTTATATTTAGAGCACAAAGATGGTTTGCTGTGTATTTAAAACAAATAAATATATATAATTAATTTATGTACCGGTTAAAATAAGCTTTTTATGGAATGTTAAATACCGGATAGATCTTAACCTATCCATAGTTATTTTTTTATTTTATAAATAATTAATCATGTCTCCCCCTCTCTAGAAATTTAATCTTTCTAAGGAATGAAAATGTGTTGACCATTGTAAGGTGTGACTACCAAATATGAGGACGACCAGGTGACAAAAAAGTAGTTTTACTAATTCTAGAACTTTACTATGATTTAATGATGGCTGATTGATTGTATTTTGTAATATTGAAACTATATATATGACAAAATCGAGGTAATATTGGATTAACCGATAAATAATATAAGTGATCAAAAAAAATATTGAAGAAACTTATATGTGGATGAGATGGTTAGAGACATATGATTATAAATATTAATTTTGAAAAAATTTTGTAACTCTCTTTATTCTCTAGTAAAATTTAGTTATGGTTTTTGATAATTAAAATAGGATTATCAAATTCAGAACAATACAATTAGAACATTCCATTATTTAAAAAACCCAATTTATTTCGATAAGTTAAATATCATAAGCGTTGTATAGTTAACGCCAATAATATTAAATTCACAGCGTAAAAAAAACCTTTCAAAATTATTGCCGTATTCTGAGTGAGGTCTTGATTCCTTGGCCAACTGAGTCAAATGAATATATTTGGATTGATTTTTGCCGAGATATTCGATCCCGTGATTATCGATATTGCTAGGATAATTATGCATTCTATTGGGGAGTTCGTTAGCCGATATAATATCAAGCACCTATATTTTTATGAATACCGAAATATATAATATAATTAATTTGCAAAACCTTTTTTAATAGATCGTGACCAGTTGTTGCCGATGCTGGAATTCTTTCATCAGTTAAACCGGAAGAAGAAATTTTAAGGTTGGGAGATATTGAAAGGGTAACAGTATCACTTTTATCGACGGATTCTTCAGTTATCTTACCTGAAAATATTGTGTAACAAAAAGCATTGTAATGTTTTATTCCTTTTATATTTACTAATGCCCCGCAGTAGTGTTACCTCAAAATCCCATGTGCTACGCCTCATTTATAGTGAACGCGATTTGTTCAAACGGTCCGGCATTTACGGTATTCACAGTTGATTTTTCACAGAGATTAACATTTTTGAAATATATGTGGCAAAATATGTTTTAAAATGTTATCATAGCGTTTTCATTCGTTTTGCTCCATATTTACAAATTATACCTATTTATGGGTTTGATTTTGTAAATAAAGACAGCGTTAAATACAGCGCTTGAACTTCGCGTTAATTAAAAATGACGAGTAACTTCTGTAGCTATTTCACTATGAAAAATATTAGAGTCATAGGAGCAGGGGGGGGGGGGGAATTTTTAAAGAAGTTATATGAATTCTGATAAAAAAATCCAATTATTTCAAATTTTTTATAAATCTATTTCATTGGGTTTTAATTCCAAACATCCACTTTTGGTGAAAAGCTTACCCTCCCTTATTAATTATAATATATAAAAAAAGTAATTTTTTAAAACGACTCGTTTTTAAAAACAGCTAACTAATCAATATTTTAGCCAAAAAATATAACTTAAGCTTAGAGATTTTGCTCATAGATGGCAGAAATGGTGGGACATTTATTTACAAAATCTCGAGGCTTGTTTAATATTATTTTGTCCAAAATCTTTGAGCTAAAACATAGCCGTTTAACAACACTAAAAGAGAAAGAAAGAAAAAACTATAAGATATCGAATGATCTTCGAAGGTGGCGGAAGAATCAAGTCCTATGTCCATGTATTTAGACGCGTCTTCCAAGAATTGTTGATTAAAAAAATCGTATTTAAGATTATCAAGATGCCAAACATATTTGCCGCACTCGTCCCTCACTATCAAACGTATATCGGGTATGTGGTGATAAGCGCGCTAAATAGAGTTTTTTAGGAATAGTAATAAAAAACACGCAAGATAATTATATTTAGGTTAGAGATCTGCAAAGTTAGGCCCGACCCAAACGGGCTTCGAACCGGACTCGGGCCTAATTATATTTAAAATAATCGGGTTCGGGTCGAGCCTAATATTTTTTTAAAAAATCGGGTCGGGTCAGGCAGAACCTTGGAAATTTTTTTAAATATATCTAAAATTATCAATTTTATATTGAATTTTTTATGTGAAATATGCATTTTGATTTTATTTATTGAAACTAAACGCCATATAACATATGTCTTTTATTTTGAGTAATTATAAAAATTAATTTCTATATTTAAATAAATTCGAGCCGGTTAATTTTTTTAAAAAATTTTAGGGTTCGGGCCGGGCCGGCAAAACTTTTTTAAAAAATTTCGGCTTCGGGCCAGGCCGGCAAAACCATTTAAAAAATATTTCGGGCCAGGCCGGGCTTGAAAAATCAGGCCCGATGCAGATCACTAATTTAGGTCGCTAATTATTTTATGGAATTTAATTCAAAGAAAAAATTAATTAATTTAAAACTTACCATTATTTTATAACTAAAATAAAGGAACACGTGATTCTTGTTTAATTATTATATATCGCACTGGCGCAATCATATCTTTAAATAATGATAGTGACGTCACGCGTTCCAAACCAATGAGTATAATAATTTTTTTTGTTTTTATATTTACCTCTTTACCGATCGCGGTATTCAGTTCGCACATCGATAGCAGACACGTTTCGTTTAAGATATAAAACTTTATTCAGGGATAGAAATAAATATATACAATAAATATTTAATTAAAGTTTATAAAGGTATCAATTAGTGGTAATATTTGGTGGAGGACGTTTGAATTTTTAAGCGATTTTATAAAAATAATAGATAACATACCAAATTGTCCTTATATACAAATATTTTAAAATGTCAATTGTGGCTTAGAAGGTTAGACATTGAGGCCCAACACATATGTGGTTCGATCCCAACTCGAGACAGTTTATTTTTTATCTTTTAAAATCAACCTCCTCGAATAGGTTAAGAGTGAAGATTACTGTGCTATCAGAGTTGTTAAAAGATACTTTTTAAATGGATTTAGTATATAACCTAAAAATGGATTTAGATATAGATACATCATTTTAAAAAGCATCTAGATACAGATACAATTTCTACCATATTTATATACAGGTTTAACCGTTGTTCTCGAACAAAAACTCTTATCTTGAGAGCACAATATATGTAAACAAGATAATAATGAAAATGTCAATATTTCTATTTTTATAGTTCTTTCGAATAAATGATCCAAAATAAGCTTTTATTAAAAAAAATACTTTATATCAAACTTAAAATTTATTCATCAAAAGTCAGGGGAGTCTCTAAAAATTTTTTTTAAAAAACTCTAAATAACTTGCTTAAAATAATTTTGCGCATCAATGTTATTGTTTTTAATGATTAATGGGCGTCATGGCTAAGCAAGGATTTATATATTCCTTTATAGTGCACAGTACCTTTTTTTAACGTATATGATAAAAATATCCATAGAAATCTTGAACTGATATCTATAAATTTAAATGGGGAAAAAATAATATACATTTTTTCTTTATATTTAAGTTTATAAGTTTTAACGCATGTTATTTTTATAATATTAGGGTCATTCCACATCAAATGGACCAAAAAAAGAGATTTTCTAACGACCATCTCTAAAATGAACGAAATTTGGTATTATAGTTATCTATGTTGTATATTTTAGTAAAATCGAGATTTTAGAGCGCTAGCTAAGCCAGATCCAAAGATATATGCCTAATAAATACATAAGATAGAGTATATCATTCTCTAACCCATAAAATTTTACATTGGAAAATATTGAAAATTTTTTTTACAAAATATTTAAGTGTTTTCTTACTTCCGGTAAAAATAAAATATTAACATTATTTGGAAGGGATTTTTTTGGGTGTTGATATTCTCCTAAAATGTTTATTACCTTTATATTAAACTATTTAATAAAAAATCTCGATTGATTTTTTAATTTTATTTAAGTTTTTATTATTTTTATAAATAAAGAAAGATAATATAGATAGCGTTATATTTAAGGATTATTATAACATAATATAGTTAATAAAAATATGAATTGTATTAGTATTAAAATAAAAAAATCCATTAAGTATAATCAATATGATGTCCTAGGACGATAAGTAAACAGGCAGCCTATACAGATATGATTATTGTTTGGATGCTATATTATAAAATAAACACTAAAATTTTATATACAAACTATTATAAAAAAATACCTCGTTTTTAGCATATTCCTTTTTACGCTTATTTTGAGACGAAAATTTGTAAGTACGTCCTGTCGCTGTTATGGGATCTACTATCGTTATTGTGCAGATTTGATGCGAAACATTTCCATATTTTTTAATTAGTTGCAAAGAATTGTTACAATAACATATTTATATATTCTTATCAATTTTTACAAGTTAAATTATTTTATTTACAAACGAATTAAAAATTATACAATCGTGGGGTAAAAGAAGGATGGTGACCAGTGGGAATGTAAAAAAGAAATATATATATAATTTATTTTTGTGGCTAACCACTATAAATCATCATAAGTATATGTGATCTTTTATTAAGGACCATGGTCTGGACAGGTCTTTTTTCTATATGTGACGAATTTTGGTGGCTAGCCACATTACTAAAAAAAATGAAATTACTGGAGAGATATATTTCTTCTTTACAACCCCGTGGACTAACATCCTTCTTTTACCCCACAAGTGACATCAAATAATAACGATAGTAGATCCCAACAGCAACAAGATATATCTAAAAATTATGGCCTCAGGAAATTCCATTAATAAGCTCAAAATGGAATACAATAATTGAGATATTATTTTATAATAGTTTGTATATAAAATTTTAAAATATGTTTATTTTGTCCAAATAATAATTATATCTGTATGGGCTGCCTGCTTACTTATCGTCCCAGGACATCATATTGGTTATACTCATTGGATTTTTTTAAAATACCAACATAATTCATATTTTTATTAAATATATTATGTTATAATGATTTTTGAATATAACGCCATCTATATTATCTTTTTTATTTATAAAAATAATAAAAATTAAAAAAATAAAAATGGCTATCTTTTTATTAAATAGTTTAATATAAAGGTAATAAACATTTTTGGAGAATACCAACACCCCAAAAAATCTATTTATAATAATGTTAATTTTTTATTTTTACCAGAAATAAGAAGCTGTAGAAGATTATCATATCTCAATCAGCAGTATCTTATTAAAGAATCTCAGTAAGAACTGATAAATCGCTAAGGGCGGCTTTCAGATGTTCCCCAGTAATGTTATCAGTACCAGGAGATATGTTATTCCTGAGTTTATTTATGGCGGCAGTTATATCGGCCAATGAAAAGTTTGCATCAAATTGTTCAACGCTATGGCTAATGGATGGTATCAAGATTGGCCTCCTAGATTTGAAGATACCCATATAATGATCTAACCACAATGCCATCTGTTCATCTGGGTCAGTGATTAATTTGCTGTTTTCTAGCCTTATAAATGGAAGTATTTTGAACACTCTAGCTTTACAGAAGTATTTGAGCTTTTTGTAAGCGTCAAATATTCTATTTTACCTCATGTCTCTATCTATCTCGCTTCTGTAGAGGAATGCTGGTTGTCCTTCAAAAACAATTTATTTGGAGCCTGCAATGATCTCCTCAATATTAACAACTATTTTCCGAGAAACAAATGGCTATCCGAAGATACTGTTCATATGATAGCGGAACTCAAGTTAAAAGGAAGGCGCGATGGTTACCTATTGACTACAATCCATAGACTTCTTAGGAGTGATAGAAGGTAGTGATCTGCAAAAGTAGGATCGGCCCGTACCCGGCTTAGGTGGTCGGGTCAGGTCTTAGAAATTTTTAAAAATATATCTAAAGGATTTAAACCTAATGAAACAGTCCCTGAAATTGAATAAAAATAAAAGGTTTATATCGAAATCTGCCTTAAACTCTTCTTTATTACAGGTTTTAATCTTTTAATTTCACTTATTCTCTAACTTATATTTCATTGATACTAGCTTTTCACTTATTTTTATTTTAACTTATCATAGATAAAATGTACTTTAAAATTTATAAAGTAATTAAATACATATGCAATTCGTGGGTGTGGTGTTTTTCTGCCCATTCCCTTTTAATCAGCCCACAGACGTAGCGCGTACAAGTACGTGTGGCTTATCCACAAACGTGTGAAGGACTCCTCATTTTTCTCCCCCAAATTAAATATTCAGTTTGATGGATGTCGCATCCAAAACCAAAGGGCGAAAACGTTTTTACCAATTACGTAAATAAGAAAACACTTGAAATTCTTTAATTTTTTTTGATATTTCCCAATGTAAAATCTTAAGTGCACTATAAAATGATATATAACTTGTAACTCTATCTTAAGTATTTTTAAGAAAACAAGATTAAATAAAATCGATTTTGAAGGTGTATATCTTTAATTCTGGTTTAGTTAGCCTCTAAAATTTTGATTTTACTAAAATATACAACATAGATAAAACTATCATGCCAAGTTTCATTATTTTTAATATAGCCGTCCGAATCACTGGTCGATTGATCATAGAATTACTTATTAGTTTTAATATTTTTTAATATACATTTATTTAAAATATACAAATATGAAATAAAATGAATTTTACATTCAAATATTTTTATTTTTAATATAAAAAAGGGTTACAAGTATATCAAAATGAATCTTTAATAGTATCTAAAAATAGATATAGATATCTCTAAAATAGTATCTAGATATTCATACTACATTTATATATTTAGATACTTTAACAACTCTGGTTAATATATTTTGAAAGTGGGAGGCATTGATTTTTTTGGGGGAGAGGGGGGGGGCATAACAAATAGCTATATGTCGACCAACGCCATACATCATTACCCTCATTTAATAGGCTATGCAAACTGAATTTAGATAATAATATAAATTGCAAAATTTTCCGATTATAGTTTGAAAGATAGCAAAGGGTGAAAAGATAATATATTGGTTGTGTGAAGTGAAACATTAGTTGCGAAATATAGTTTAAAAGTAAGAAAACCTCATAGACTTTTTAGAAGGAAAGAAAGATAGAGTCTAGAAAATATAATTGGTAAAAATTATCTAGAATTTTTTTAAAAGAGTAGTAAACCTGAACACTGGGAGAATTACAAACGTCCGTCATATTAGCCCATTCATTTTCATTGGTTTGGATTTGATTCTTCCGATAGTTTTCACCGTCCACGTTAAGGGACATCATTTCATCTATACATGAATCGAGCTTATAATACCCGTCGTTATAAAGAGGGAAGTGGCAAAGATGATGAACCAGATGTTTGGAAAAATATTTGCCCATTTGCATTATGTTCGAAGTTTGAGGTGCCTTAGAGTCGGGATCGTCATTTTTTGAATTCAGAACATCATGGCCTGGATCGCTTGGGATTTCGCTATTCGAATTTGAAGTATTGCTAATGGTTTCGTTAGAATCCTTTAGCTTTGGCTCAATCGATGAAGAATTAGGTCCAAAATCCTTGGAAACCTTGTCTAAAGTCTATATATCATTTAAATAAAATATATATGATACTACTATAAAACATAAATTATATTTATATAGATACTGTTATGTATTAACAGTTCAATGAACTGCAATATTTATTATTATTTAGTTATATATATATATATGGTGAATGACAAATCAACAAAAAAAACACGATTCTCAATCCGACCCCCACAGATTTTTCTAAATTTTACAAAAGTTTGTATATATTACAACTAAGAAAAAAATTAAATTTTATCCTCCAACTCTAAACAACGGCTGAAATACGAGCCGCTAAATATCGAAAAAATGGTGCTTTTGGGCAAAATTACCTCCTTTTTATTTTATATATATAATTGAGCTAGAAATGGCATTTACAATTCTTTATATAGCATAATGGTAAACCATTAAAGTTATACAAAGTTAATTATTTTTTTTTAATTTTAAATGTCAAAAAACAGGAAATGGTCAAAAAATCAAATCTGCCTTTTTTTCTCTCAAATTTTTTTTATGTATAGATTTAGGATTAATAAATAAACAAATTTTCAAGTTGAGCTGAGCTCAAATTAAGGAGATATTACATTTTAATCATTAGTCTATTGCAAATATCTAATTAAATACTTGATATTAATCAATAAGTAATATGTCAAAAGCTATCAAATATTTTATGTTTAATACTTCTAGGGAAATGTTGTTGTTTTTCTTAGGGGGGGGGGGGGTTAATTTATTTGATGAATGGAATTCTCCTTATTAAAAAATAACTAAAAAATACAAATCAATTTTTTAATTTATTGAAGACTAAATTTAATTTTTATATATTGCAAATTCATATTTGTACAATTTGTAAATAGTTTAACTTTAACTTAATTTTCCCTAAGTGGCATAAAAGAATGAAGCTTCTGATTCTAGGAATAGGTTTGACTTTTGAACAAGATATTATTTTTTCATATTCATGATCTTTTAATGAATCTAGGATGTTTATATTTGATTCTCATATGGATGCTGAAGATAGCTCTTTCTGCTACCCCTTTGTATGAGCTATTACGAAAAATGTAATATAGGTTTCTTTGAATTAGAATATAAAATTAGCATTTTCTTTAAATGGTTGTCTCTAACCTTTATTGATAAAAAACGGTGTTTACCAGGCATCATACTAATCTTTTAATCGGAATTATGAAATTTTCGAATTTTCTATAAAATAATCTCGAAACAGCTTTATAATATTTGGATTGGATAAAACACCCTTTCCCTTTACCAATTTTTTTGCTATCCTTGCCATGGATTCAGTCGTAGAAAATTCTTCTTGTTTTTAAAGTCTAAGAACTTGATAAAACAGTCGATATCGGAATTTTTTTGTTTCAAATTTATTTTTAATTGCTTAATGATTTTTCATCGTTAGTATTAAAATTATCTTCCAAAAAATTTTCAAAACATATTTCTTAACTTTTTATGTCAGACAATGCAAATTGATCGTTAATGATTTATTCTGGTTAATCATCCACGGAAGTATATTTCTTAGACCTTCACAACGTAATGTTTATCCAAATTATAAAAATTTTAGGAACGAAATAAAAATATTACATACAATAGCCCCCCCCCCACCTTATTTTATCTTTTCTTTAAATCAGAGCATTGCGGACCCGAAGCTACAAGGCCATGTCGTATTTTAAGTTTTTTTTAAAATATACCTGAGCCAAACCTAAAAAAATTTCAATATCGGTGCCGGGCAGAATATTTTAAATTTCCATTATTATCTATAAAAATTAAAATAATATATTTTAAAAAAATCCAAATCCGGGCCGGGACTGAAAATATAAAACCCGTGCCGGACCGATATTTAAAAGATTTTAGCTTAACCCTTTCGCGCCCAACATAGTTCCCGTGAACAAAAATTTTTTTTTTTCTAAAACTGAGTTAAACAAGACGCAAATAACACATTTTCAACGTTTTTTATTTAAAAAAGTATATATATATAAAATTATGAAATGTTACCAATTGTCATCATTGGGTTATTCATATGTAAAAAATATACAATTTAATTTGAATGATAAAAAATAAAACAATTACGATTTTTATTTAAACATAACGATACTTTACATTTTATGCATTCAAATCTTGAATACCCATTATTGCAATTTTTGCACCTTTGCCTGCTAGCCGCCGATGGCCAGTGTCCTGTTTTATCTAATCTTACCTCTGGGATTGGATAAATACTATTCAATTTCTTTCTTTTTTTTATCTTCAAATTAGGCCTACTTTCTTTCCCATCGTTTTCCTTTCCAACCATCATCAATCCTTTAGCTATCTGTGATTTAAATATTAAAAGTGATACATGTTTCGTATTTTTGCTTCATGTGGCGCCTATAGAGCAACCATGAATTCACTACACAAGAATCTAACAAATGAAAGAAAACTCTCATATAAAAACGCTTCCATTCAATATCAGTTCTGTAAAGCTCATTAACATATCTTGGAGATCCACCCCACCCATACCACCGTTATAATCTTGAATTATGGCCGGGATTTCGACACTGACAAAACATTTATCAGACACCGACCATCTTCTCGTTCTTGATATTGGATCTATACCTATAAATGATGATATGGCGATAACTGGTTTGTTATCAAACCATTTGCAAATTATAATATTATTATTAGAATCCATTTTATAATCAAAGGACCCTCTTCCTTTTTTCTTTAGGATCATCAACCAGACGGCATCCCGATAATCGATTAGATCTAAGGGTCCCCGACATGACAAAGCCATTATCTTTGAGAGCAACTGCTAAACTATAACGAAGAAAAAAAGTTATCCATGTAAATTTTATGATTTTTATGTGGGAGAACAGTTTCTAATAGTCGTATAACGATATCTCCGCTAATTCCCATCAAAGTTTTTTTAATATTTGTGGATTTTCCTAAATATATTTCGAAATCGTAGAGCATTCCAGATGATCCACATAAAGCGAAAATTTTAATTCCCCATTTATGCGGTTTTGATTTAATATATTGTTTAAATTCGCATCGCCCTTTGAAGGGGACTATCATTTCATCAATAGATAATTTTTCCTCTAATTGAATCTTCTCAAGTTCACTTTCATTGCACTAATAAATGGTCTAAGTTTGAAAAGTTTATCGTAATTAGGCTGGCCCCTAAGGATTATATTATTATTATCATTAATATGAAAGTATTTTCTCAATTCCAAGAATCTGTTTCTTGTCATGCATTGAGAAACTTGAGGAATCACTGTCTCTAGAGCCCAATATTGCCTTATTGATGGCAATTTAACAATGCCTGTGTATAGGTGAATCCCAAGAAATTTTTCAATTTCACTAGTATTTGTATTTATTGATTTACCAGATAATTGAAAAGAATAAATATTCGTTTGCTCTACTAAATTGTTAATAATATCATCATCTATAAATTTTTTAAAATATTTGAAAGGCGAAATTTCTTTATCAGGTGGTGGTGAAAATTATTTATATAAATCCTTATTTCGCCAAAGGGTTTTCCTATTATTTGGGATACTATCATTATCATTATCATAATTTTCCAATTCTAACCCTATATCTGGTAAAATATCATAGGTCATATTTAGATCAACTACTGTGACATTTTCAAAGTCCTCATCCTTCTCAATATCTACATCAGATATATCTCCCTCTGGTATAATATATGTTGAGGGTATCTAAAATTATTTATAAAAAAAGCATAATAAAAAAAATTGCCACTTTCTTAACTCTTTGCATAATTATAGTAGCTTGCTAAATGGAAATAACTTTTATTCAATTCTTACTATATCATATTTTCAATATTTAATTTTAAAAAATTTATGGGAAAAATTACATTAGGAAATCCCAATGTTACCAATTTGCATTTCCTTCAAAAAATCATATAAATAATAGTTATTGTTAATTTTTTTTTTACTAAATATGAAATACTAGTAATAATTTATTATAAAAACATTATTTACCTTTGATTTATTTATATTTATATAGAATGGTTATCGATGTAAGAATGTAAAAATTTTGGCGCCTAAAATACCTAACTTTGAACTTGGATTCTGATATAATAAAATAATGACTTTGACAGGTTAATGATAAAATACGAAATAATAAATATTTTTTTATAAATTAATGTGTCTAAATAGCAACCATTTGTTTTTTAAATATAAAAATTAATTGATTAAAAATTCTGATGTCAAATGTTCTCACTGGGCGCGAAAGGGTTAAATATATTAACAATGAAATCAAATATTTACAACGATTTTTTACAATTGACTAATTGCCATATCTCCTAAACATGAGCTCGGCCCAACTTAAAATTTTGCACATTTATTATTAAGTTCTAAATCCATATATAAATGCTTATTTGATTTTATGACAATTTCCGGTTTATGACATTAAAATTTTTTTAAAAATATTTAACATTATATAACTTTAAAGACCAGCCATTAGGTTATATAATTTAAATGACGCTTTTATCTCAATTATATCGAAAGATATTTAAAATTAAAGGGAGAGCATTTTGCCAAAAAATTCCACCTTTATTCGACCTTTAAAGATCAGTATCTCAGTAGCTGCTTGGAGTTGGAGGTTAAAATTTTATTTTTTTATTAGTTATAATATATGCAAACTCTAAACTAAATTTCAGAAAAATCTGAAGAGATCAGGTTGAAATTCATGTTGATTTGTCATGGAATTCACCATATATATAGTTGAATTCGAAAAATGAAATAAACATAGTTTTAGTTGCTTTTTAAATACGAATTATTATTAATTCAAGATATTACAAAAATTATTTCAGGATACTAGAAATACCATTTATATTTAACAATTTTTTTTTATAAAAAAACCTCCAAAACAACACCGATCAAATCCCGACTGACATCATCAAAAACTGGTAATTGATCTTGTACAATTTCTTCGGTACCAGGCAATGACCTTCGGCTTGAGCTTATCAAAGGCATAAATTCGTTACCATTACAATAATCGTTTGAAATTCTACTGGGGATTTTACATCTAGAAGGGTATAGAGAAAAGGCATATTCGACTAGGCAAAATATTAGAGATTGGACCAAGTGTTGTACCTTGATTAGGTTATTAATATACATGATACAATTTATTTTGAATATAAAAAAATATTTAAGTTGGCAGGTAAAGGGTTTTCCGAAATAATATCTCCTCGAGGCACTAATTAGTATTTTAATAAAACCTTTAAAAAAAATCAATTTTAAATATATTATTTTACTAAAAATAAAGTTTTTGGCCCTTTTTTTAAAAAAATAATTAAACCCGAAATGTCATATTTAGGTTTCCTTTAAAATAAAAGTGTTCTAGGTATATGTATATTATTATTATTGTTATTAATTTAAAAAAAAATAATATTGATTTTTTTTATGTATTTGATATATTTTATTATTATTGATTCATTGTTAGATTTTAGTGTTTGAAAAATAAAAGACTTTGTTTCTTTCGGTTCGAGTATAATTTTTTCTTTGGTTCGAGTATAATTCGTCTTTTGGTTCGAGTGTAATAATTCCAAAAGTAAATATAATCCCAAAAAAAAGTTTGTCCTTATTCATGATTGGTGATCGCAATGAGTGTCGACGTTGACATTCCTAGCTTTTAAAAGTGCTAAAGAATTTTGCCCTTTCTTTAAAAACATTATTTAAGCGTGCTCGAAAAAAAATAATATTCGTTAGCAATGCCATTGATCGAAACTTAAAAATATAATTCTAGGTTTATCAAGAATAAAAATTATTATTTAAATGTCATCACATTTCAAACAAATAAAACAAAAAAATACATTTTTTTTTTAAAAAAAAACTTGGTCATAACTCGTGGAGTTTGATTTCAAATCCTTCAGACTCGTGACTTCTCTTTCGATGGATAAGCTTATCTCCTGAATTAAAAAAAAATTATAGATTAGAGATAAAAACATTTTTTTTTGTAATATAATTGGTAGCTTAATTTTTTTTTTATAAATCGAAAAGGCGGAAACGAATCTCACTTAATTACGTGGCATCATAAATTTAACTTAAAAAATTTTATTTCTTCTTCTTATCATGTTGGATGTTTACGTTGATAATGAAATCGGGTAATGAGTCGGTTAAGAAGGACTTGAATAAAAATGATCGGCCGTCTTTAGGAATAAGTTGTCCACCGAAATGATAAAATATCTCGGACAAAGAGCGTAAATTTTCGCAAGCCATTAACTTTATATTTATGTTATCGTGCTAAAAAACACAAAAAAAATAATTTTTTTTGGTCCAATAACGTATTAGCGTTGGATGCAAACCCATCGTATCTGACATTTTGAAATTGTTTTAATGGAGACAAAATATAAGAAATTTTAATTTCTTATTTTTTTTTCTTTTTCTTCCCTTGCAATAATTTCTCTATTTGTATAAATGAATCTTATAATGTTGCATAACAATAATGGATGGACTTTAAAACAAAAATAGAAAAAAATTTATGAATATAAATGAAACCATGGAGGGTAAATATTAGGGAAATAATGATTATTGAATGGACGTTCTTTCTTTCTTTCTTTCCTTCTCTCGGGGTAACAAGCCTATGCCGAACAAAGGAGATTCTTCGTTGTTGATCGATTTTTTAGCAGGATCAGTAATCCTTTTTTTAAAAAAAAGTTCTGAGATTTTGCTACCGATGGAGGTTAATGTAGAGGCAAACTAGTGGCATATATGATTAAGAAGGATAGATAAAACTGTAATTGGCGTAAACTCCACGAGATCGAGGGATTTATCATTATATTTGGATCGATGTAGGTTAAGTCCCAGCCACAAATAATTAGAATTTTTTTATCAAATAATATAACTAATTTGTCAACGTTTATTTAAGATACGAGTTTTTGGGTTTATGAATAGCATTCAAAGTAAACTACTTTATGCAAAAAAAATATTTAGTTTTATGAAAAAAAAGTCAGATACACGTGATCGCAATGCAGATCATGATAGAGGGCTTATTATATGAAATAAATATATTATGTTATGTATATACCTTCAAACTTTCCAATAGCACGATTAATATTTCTTGGACCACGGTTTTATAGTCGTTATCGTTAAGTAGGTTTTTATCGATCGTAAAAATGCAATAATAACGATGGAATAGAAAGTTTGTTAATATCTTCATCGAAAGAACCCTATGTAAATCATATTATGGTCAAATTACAAACTGAACATCTTAAAAACTCTTTCTTCCTTACTCAATGCTAACCCCCCCCCCCCCCCCCAATAAAATATATAAATAATTAGAGATGAGGTGATCTAGTAGAATTTGAAACTAATTAGATATATCATTAAAGGAGGATTGGTTAAAAATGGAGGGAACAAGACCCAGAGGGCAATAAAAAAACAAGCTGGGTGAAAATGTTAGATAATGACATGAAAACGCTAGGTCTATCCCGGGGAGATGCCCAGAAGGCGAAAAATAGAGAAAGGTGATTAGAAAAAATGGCCTATTGTAAACCTGGGAAAGAGCCATAAGAAAGGGATGCCCACCGATATTTTTTAGATTGGGCCGATTATTCCTCTTTTTTTTAAAAAAAAAATTATCGGCCGATAATATTAAATCTTCTGATCCAATAAAATGGAGTTTAATTAAATTGTTTTACCATAATAGTTAATCAATTTCAAAAATCTTTTTGTGAGATCAATTTTTTCTTTATTATTATATTAATTTTCATATCTATTCGTTAAATAACCTAAGAATTATTTATCCTAATAAAGAAAAATTGATCTCATTGGAAGATTTTTATCGTTCAGCTGCTAAATCATGTCGGATCCCACCATAACAACTTAAAAAGTTATATATAGCTAGTATAACAATTATTATATTAAACTGTTTTCTCTATTTATATGTATATATATATTTTAGGAGATCGGATTTTAATTGTAACGTGAGTCACTATTTACAAATACTAGAGGTAAGGCAAAAAAAACAAATTTTCAGAGATCGATCTGATTCTCTCCATTTTTAATGATAACATTATGGGAGAAATTCATAGATATTTTTTTTATTCGTCATTTCGATAACATCGGATATAGGCTGATAACGAATATCAAGAATATGAAAGATCGATTAATAAGAAACCGGTATATTTCTAACAAATAAAATACGGTTATTTTTAATTATTATATTCCTCTAATTATGAAACATAATTTGGCAAGGACCAATGCATCCAATCTTATCTCACGATTCTAAAAATTTTCTTTCTTTATGTTTTTTATAAAAACATCATAATCGAAAAATAATAAATTTCATACTTTATTTGGGTATCCTTGATGTACGGATTTTTCAACACTTCGAAAATATGTTTGATAACGATCAGCTGATTTTCATTAATATTATTTTAAATTTAATAATTTAACCGAAAAGATATTTTTTAAAAATAAAATAAAAAACTTGTAAATTTTCTTGGTTCCGTTTAAGAGGAAGGCACAAAATTCTGATGGTCCCCAAAAATGTCAAGGCTTCTCTTTTAGCTCGATCATTCTGATGTTTTTTTTGCAAATTAAAAAGACAAATTTAAAATAAAAAAAAATGAGAATTTATTATAAGATGGCAGCCATTAAAATAGAGGTAGCGACTCCATTGGAACATGGAATTCAAATTTTAAATCTTTTCAGTACCAAAGCTTCCGAGAAGGAAAGATCGCGGTTAGTGTATAGATCATTTTGCGAAAAAATTAAGGCAGTGGCGGAATGAATCAAGGTAGGGTATAGGAGGTAAGTGGACCCTGGTAAATAATGAGAATAAATGCGTTTGGAATATTGTTGCATCAAAGTCGACGCCAACACGAAGGAATACTTTAGTCGTGGACCAATATTTGTAGGAGGAATAGAGAGTGTAGTATTCAGCTTTGGAGTATTAAAAATAATAAAAAAATTAATGGGAGAAAAAAAAGTTAATACATTTCTATCAGAAGTTGGCGGCAACCGGGTCGGCTCAAACATGTAGGAATAATATTTTGATATACTCCCCGCGTTTTATTCACTAACCATGCCAGTTATTCATATATAATTCATACTGAAACAGAGATTGATACTAATTTAAATAATTGGGTGAACTATGACAATTACGAACCGAACAAGATAATAAATTATATCGAGAACCAAGTTATGCTCATGACTAGTGCTGCTAAACGGCTAGATTTGAGCCAATTTTTAAAAATGGCTAACTCAATGTTTTATCCAGAAAAATATTATGCAAACCTAAAAATTTTGCTCATAGATGGCACAAATGTTTGGCAATATTTTTCTGGCTAACATGTTAACCGTTTTTAAAAATAGGCTCAAATCGAGCAGTTAAACAACACTACTCATGAACTCAAAAAGCTTCATAATCACATAAAATTGTTTACGCTGTTTATCAATTGCAGGATTTTGTTAAAATGAAGTCTAATGTATATTTTTTAAAATCTCTGAACTTTGTGTAGTTTATAAAATGACGAGAATCTTGTGATTGTGAATATCAATCTCATACACACATTATGCCCAACCATCACCACGTCATATAATTAAACTGTTTAGTTTTTTTACTATTATTATTACGTTTATAAAGCAATATTTTTATTCCACAACCATGTATGCCCAAGCTATAACATTATTTTCAAAATAATGTTTTTGAACGTGTAGTAAAATTCTGAAGTTCCAGGATTGGCTTCATTTTATTTCTAAAAATTCAAATCGGATCTTTAAAAAACATTTTTGGATTGGATTAGTCGGATAAACATTCGGATTAAATCGAACCTGAAAAATAGGTCCGATGAGGATATATATGTTTTTAAAAAAAGAAGACTGGCTACAGAGTTCCTTGAGATGATTTGGCAGTGTCTGAAAATCCAAGTTTCAAAAAGAGTAATAAATATTAAGGTAAGATGTGATAAGTAATGTGATGGGGTAAAATAAATAAATAATAGTAGAGGAATATAAAATGAGATTTTTTTAAGGTAATGTTACCATTTTTTGGTGATTATTTTTAAATTCACCAACATATATTAATTTAATAAATAAATATATTGTATTAATTTATGTTATTTTGCATTTTATCAAAATCTTAGTTGTAATTGGGGGGGGGGATCCACTATTAACGTGTTTGTCAGTCCAACCCACTATCGGATATGAAATAATTATCACTTCAACTGGTGATGTCAACTAGAGATCTGCAAAAGTGGGTTCGGCCCGTCGAACAGGCTTCGGGTCTAATTTTTTTAAGAAAATTCGAGCCGGGTCGGGTCTTAAAATTATTTTAAAATTTATCTTATGTTGAATTTTTTTATGTAAAATAAAAATATGTGATTTTATTCATAGAAAGTAGACGCCAAATAACATATATCGTTTATTTTGTGTAATTATAAAAATTAATTTCTATATTTAAATAAATTCGGGCCGGGCTGGCAAAATTTTTTTAAAAAAATTTCGGGTTCGGGCAAAACTTTATAAAATAAATTTCGGGCCGGGCCGGGCTTGAAAATTAGGCCCAATGCAGATCAGTAATAACAACTTCAAGAATTTTTTAAAAAAAAATTTTTAAATATAAACTTATCCAAAATGTTAAACATAAAACGTTAAATTTATTTTGAAAAAATTAATTTCAAAAGCCCCCATAAAAATTATCATACAAAACAATTAGGATTATTATTTTATTTATTTTTACTTCTGTCAAAGGATGAAGGCCAGTGCTGATTATGAAATAAAATCTCGTCAGCATATCGAGTGGAGGAATGGTTTCGTGCCTTCTAAACATTATTTTGAAGAGGAAAGTAAATGCGGACACGAAATAGGCCGAAAAAGAAGGGGAATCAATTTCAATAAAATCTTCTTTCTGGGAATCCATTTTGCGAACTAAAATGAGCACATCGGAGCATGCCTTAAGTTAGTTTTTTTTAAAGATAATTTTGATGTTAAAAAAAACGAAATGAATCAAGCTAGACTCTAGAAAACTGTAGACTTTATTACCCCTCATTCATATTTAGCGCGAATTCGTGGTGAAGAATACAAACAGGATATTTTGAATACTTCGCAGAGAATTCCTACTAATTGTTAATGCAGGGTTAGCAACATATTTTATATAAATGTAGTTAAAAATAAAATAACCGAAAAAAAGAAGAAGCTGACTTTGATAATCAAATTTCTCGAGAGAAGGGAAAAAAAATAAGATATCTTTTATATAAAAAAAAGATAACCTGAAAAGCCCATGGGAAAAATTGAATCAATGGCGGATTAAGCGTTAGATATGAATCGTTGTCGTAATTTTCTTTGTTTGGACTGTCAATTTCATCTTGGCCATATGTTTTGGCAGGTCTAAGCTTTTCGGAATGAATAATATGTTGATTGTCTCTGATCTGTAGAAATTAAATTGTTAAAATAAGTTTGCGTTTATAAAAATATAAGATTTTAAACATAATCATAATTGTAAAACAAGCCTTTTTAGAATTGTTATTGTTTAAATTTAGCGGTCAAAAACCCGACATAACCCGACCCGAAAACCCAGTTGGGTTTAGTCAAGATCTTAAATCAGTATATTCTGTAAAAATAAAATAACATATTTTTTTCAAAATCCAAACTTTTAATAGCCTATCATAGAGTTCGGATAAGTAATTAGCAAAACGTAGCTTAATCTTTTGATCTCCCAACGTGTTGACATTTCCCAATATTCCTAACATCCTTTTCCACAATAGAGTGGCGGATATAGCGTTCCAGCCGGTGACCACACCACCCAACATAACGGGTAAACATTTCGAATCATTCATCCTCGTGGTGATAATTTCGTTTTCGTCAAGGATCAAATTTTTAAAATCATTGATGGGCGCTTGGTCACCCATTCCATTTAGATGAGAAATGATATCAATGTCTATTGTATAAAATAAAACACATAGGGAAAATTTTATTTTTTTTAAAAAGTGATATTTGAATGTTAAAAAAAATAATAAAACTACGGCCAAATATTCTTTTTTTTAGTCATTTAGGTAAAGACAAATGATTATTTAATGGAAAATCTGATTTTTTTTAAAATAATGTGAATCTTGGTTTTAGTTAGCGATTGTAAATAGTTAAAAAATTATAGTAGTTTTAAATCATGATTATTAGGTAAGTAATTTTGGTTCCAATTTTTTTAAAACAGAGACCATCTTTAGAGTTCGGTCCTATCGGATTCAAAGATTGAGGTGGGACATTCACTTTATAAAAAAAAATTATTGTGATTGCTTAGTAAACTAAATATTATCGATTATCTTTAGTATTTATTTTTAAAAAAAATCAATATTCAAAGCTACTAGATTATTTTTAAGTGATTACTTTCGTATAAATGTTCGGGGTAATTTGATGGCAACGATTCTCCCTTCCTATTCGGCAGTTGTTGCTTGACCTCAAAAGATGACCCGTTTCTCGAATCCGCGGCTATCAAATTTTCTTCGTTACCGTTCATTAAACTATTTGCCACGATTTCGTTTGCGAATTTTGAGTTGGAAGTTCTACTGGATTCATCTTATTTGTGAATTTTTTTTAAATATAGATTATAGTTATATGATTGATAAATAATAATAAAAACCGTCCGATGCCCAGGACCGTTAAAAGTTGTATCAGGTGGGGAACTGTCTTACCCACATGTAAACCTGAAAAACCCCAAGTAAACGATATATAATTGTAAAAAATATAACAGTCGACTAATTGTTTTATCTACGTTAAAATAAGATGCTTTTAAAAAAATATATCCATTTCAAATAAAATGGATATTAGCTTATTCCAATAGTAAATCAACATCCTTCTCTATCCGACACAGACTATTTTGTAATAGTTTTAAAGTAAATCGTGATAATCTCGTATTTGTATATAAATAATATTAAAACTTATACAATAGCGTATAAAAAGTAGCAATACATTAATTATTTTATGATGGATTTTTTTTTCAAAAACATGAGAGTAAAATTTTTTATACCGCTAGGCATAGAATTGAACGATTTAACGGAAGACAAAACAAGGGAAGTTGAATCTTTTTCCATTTGTATTTCTTCCTTAAACGATTCAGGGCGGCTTTGAGGAGCATCGATTTTTTTGATTGTTTCACGGTCTTCCAAGCTAAAGAGATGGGACGGTAAGCGGTTAACTGCGTTATTTAGAAGGTTGTTGGATTGACCTAAAGTTTATTTTATAATTTTAAATGTTTTTCATGTAGCAAAAGAATGGTGTTTTTTAAAAAAAAATGGCTATTCTAAAAAATTGATTAAAGTGTAGTTGAACCATATAGCCTATACTAATCAAGTGATCGTATAAAAAGTATATTTTATTTAAGAGCATTAAATAAAATAAATACTCATAAAATTTGTTTATTTTCAATATAGGAAATAAAAATAAATAAAATAGTCCAAATCAAAAAAATACGATATAACCTTTGTTATGATCGATTATCTCATCTTCGTCATCCGTCATAAGAACTACATCCTTAAATTTCCCGTTCCCTTCCGGTTGCGTTAAACAAGTTGTATCCTTTAAATTTGTGCCCTTTTCTGTATTGATTTCGCCATTTTTGGGATTAATATCACGATCCCTCTCGGAGTAACTGAGGGTTCGGATTTTAATAACTTCCTTGTCATTAGATTCGACGCCATGATTACTAACAATATATTCATTTTTAAAAATATTTTCGTGCGTGGAAGGTATATTAATGGAAAGGGGTCTTTTGGCATCGCTAAAGTTAGGATTCGCGGTGATTAATGGGGAATGATAGTTCTTAAAATTGTTATGAGAATCGAAAGACGCCTTGTTGTTCTGGAAATTATTTACTAAGCTAGAAGGAACGTTCGATGATCTAAGATCAAATTTATTTCGAGTGGTAGGTGGAAAGGGAGTTTTGCGGCTATTTTTTGTGCGGAGCTGAACGCCATTATCCGTATTTGTGCGCTAATTATGTTTAAAGAAATTTCATGGAAGAAAAAGGAACCAGTAAAGTGTTCTTAGTGCCCAAAATCGAAAAGTTTTCACAAATTAATATACTTGTTTATAATTATAATATATCTCGACATGAACTAAATTGCAAATACAAAAAAAGAACAAAAAAAATGATAAAACATTCAAAATATAAATTAATTTTTAAATTATTTACTTGTAAATTATTTATGTATAATTATATGGAGTATAAAAAATAAATAAACGAAAAATGAATTGTGTTATTTTTAGTCAATATTTCTTTATGTTCTCCAAACATAAATAACCCTTTATTTAAATTTTATTCCTGAAATAGGACCCTTTTTCTTTGGTCGAAAGGTTGACATCTCTGCTTCTTAATATTAATTTTAAAAATTTTTAAATGTCTGACAAAAAAAGAATATATTTTATTATATATATCAACTTGTGATGAATCTTCATGAGGAGATAGATTATGAACGGCATTGTTTTGCAATTGCCCGCGCCTTTTTTTGGCCTTCTGTTCCGTTAGGCGGTCGGAAGGTAAATTAGATAAATCTAAATCGAACACGTGTTTAGCGTATATTTTAAATAAGGTGTCCATAGTTTTCTAATGCATTTTTTATGTGAAAAAAAAAGAAATAATCAAATCTATTATTATATTCTATCAAATTTTGGAAAAAGAGATTGTTAGGCCTTCGTTTATAATAAGCGCGATGTGCATTGTTAAAGGATAGCACAACTGTATTAAATTTTAATTTTATTTTGTATCACACATCGTAATGGAGAACGATGTTGCGCTATAATTGTCCTTATAAAAAAGGTCTTACTTTTATAGAATATATTAGACAATTTGATTGCAAAAAATAATTGATCATTCAATTTACGTGAATAATATCTATTTAATTAATTAAAATTCGTTTTATTTAAGTATTTATGACAATCAAGAAGATTATTCTAATAAAATTTAGAATGCTTACCGTCCACTCAATAAATAGTTCGTCGTATCCGATCAGTGAAACAAGTGTAGTAGATAGATCCACCCACATTTCTAACGGGACATAAATGTTTAGACATGCTTTGATAAAGGTTACCATCAGGGTCTAAGTTAGGAAAAAGAAATATAAAAATTAATTTCTTTTTTAAAAAAGTATTTTGATAATTTGTTAAAAAAAGGTTTAATATGTTATGGCTTTGCTGAGCTAATAGGTATTTTATCACTTTTTTATTTTTCGATCGCCTCAGTCAGTATAATTTAATTTACACCGAGGCCGATAATGAAAAAGAATAAGGCCTCATTTATAGAAAACGGGTTTATTCAAGATATGCGGTATTTAACGTTGAGTTATGTACTAAATCAAGGTAATAAATAGGTGTAATTTATAAATGTAAAGCGAAAGGAAGAAAACGCTATTATAAAATTTGAAAAATATAATGATTCTACGTATATTTCAGGAATTTTTATCACTGTGATTTCGACAGCGCGAAATATCGCATCGCTTGAAAAAAAAGCGTTTACTATAAATTAGCGTAAGGCACTATCTTGTCAAATAATACATAAATATAAAATATTCTTGTATAAAAAATAAATTATAAATTTGCAGTAAATAACAATGCCCACTTATTATTTTTAATTTGAAATCAAATTTTAAATTTTCCATATTAGATTTTAACGTTTAAATTCTTCCTATGAAGAATTCGAAGAATGCCACGAATAATTATAAAAAGAGATTAATAATAGGATAATACGATCCGAGATACGTTTATAAAAGAATTATGTGCCTATAAACAAGGAGTGGTTTTTTAAGCAACGCGTGGAAAAAATGTAAATCAAAACAAAGATTAAATTGGTGGTGAACTTGTCTCAATGAAACAGTCATAATTTATCAGATAATCAAACATAAAACAACAGTTAAACTAATATTAACAATTCATTCACAGAACCTAAATCGAACCTGAACTGTTAAAAAATTTGTGACCCGAACCTTTTAAAATCTACTGGTTTGAACTTTTTTGCATCATATTAAATATTATCATATATCAATTTTGATTGCTAAGTATATTAAAAACCAGTTTTAGATATTTCTGTTATATTGCTATATGAGGATGCAAGTTACTTAAGTTTAGAAGTGTTATAAATTTTATATGCTTGTTCTCGTTAAATATTATATGACAAAAGAGAATCTCGAATTAATTGTATGTCAATATAATAATTAAGCAGTAAAGAATAATTTTTTCTCGAATTTATAGTGAGTCTGGGAATATAATTGGCATTAAGGTGATTTTTTTCCAATTAGAATTCAATTTTTTTTAAAGAAATCGATATTTATGATAAAATCCTATTATGCGTTTGTACTAATGATGCGAATCTTCAATAATCATTCGTTTTCATTCATTTACCCAATGAATAAGCATTGGGTGATCGAAGTAATCAAAAAAAAATACTTAAAATATACGATTAGTAGAATTCAGAAAATATGAAATTCTAAAGAGCGGCGAAATTTTTTTATTAAACTTCCCTAATTTGTAAACCTGAATAAAGGCTCCCAGGAGTTTATTGTTGCCATATTTGAGGAGGTACTTTGATTTTTTTTCATCGCCACCTTGATCTGGTTTATCATTGCTATTTAGTATTCTTATTATGCTAACCAGGGCCGTGATTATACATTTCCTATAAAATGTAAAATTGGATATTAAAAAAAAGGCGATTTTGGGATGAGTAAAAATTCACAAAAAAAATCTTTCAGAAGTTTTATAATTTGAATCAAATCGTATATTAAAATTTTTTAAAATTAGGTTTATGATATGATTTTATTTTTATATTAAAAATAGAGTATTTCTTTTTTTTTCGTTAAGATTACATGTTTTCAAATTTTATTTTTGATATTTAGGACACAGTTGAAAATAATGTAGATCAGAGACACGGCAGAGTCCAAGCCTTTAGGCCGGGCCTAGATTTAAAAAAAAATTATCTTGGGCCCGGCTTAAGTATTTTTAATTTAAGCCCATTAAAAATTTTCTTTTTTAAGAACCCGCCCCATGCGCTTCAAACACCTCAAGCATTAGGATAATATTTGGAGTATTTATCAATGATGGTTTATATACTACTCGATTAGCGATTTATTAATTAAAAGTGTACATACATATGTATCAGCAGTAGCGCCATTTTGGGTACGTCACTTTGACTAATTGTCGAATTTATATCATTATTATGAATTAGGGGTCGGCAATAAGCGGTTTTTAATCCGACCGCCCGCCTATTGTTAAAAAAATTTAACACGCCTGCCCGCCAAATATTTAAAAATTATTTTAATGGTTGGTTTAGCTCTATATTTTATTTTATGAAATAAAAAAAATTGATTTTTAATAAATAGAATTCTGCCCATTTCGCCAGATAAATATTTAAAATTACAATATTTTCTAACTTGCCTCACCCACCCAATGGGCAGACGTGGGCGAGCGGGCTATAACCGCATATTGCAGATCTCTAATATGAATGTCCATTAATGTCATTTAATCGACGTGCTATCCACAAAATGGCGATGCAGCTGACTTTTATATGTTGGTACTTTTAAATGCTTTTAATGAATGAATCGTTATAGTATATATATATACATCATTAGTATTAATATAAAAATAAAATTTATTCAGTTTTATTTACCATGATTTTTCGTTTAAAGGGGTAGCCATTACGACTTGTCGGAAAAGATTGAGAACCTTTTTGCTAATTTCATACTTGAATTTAATGATTTTTAAAAAATGTATGCATAATAAAAATAATCTTCAAAGCAAACTATATTCGTGGTCATCTTATTTTATTTTATTTTAACATTTATTTATGATATCAGCTTAATTTTACAAATAAGCAATAGAAACAATAAATTCCCTAAAAAGCTAGCTGGATAGATACGCGTGTATTTGGAAAAGAAAATGAATGAATCTCATCGCTCAGGATCGTGGAAAATTGCGAAAAAAAGAATTAGAGTAGCAGACTGGCCTTATCGGATTAAACCTGGAAAAAGTTATTAACCGAATAAAATAATTATAAACTTGATCGTCGAGAGTGAGCGCAGGTTTTCCCATCCTGTTCTTAATGTTGATCGATTGCAATGTCACGTCCGGGACCGGCGAGGGTACTATGAGAAATACCTGGCCTATGACGCACAATAACACCCTAACACACTTTTGAAAGCCTGCTTCGATTTGCCGCGGGTTTTGTCTGCTATTAATTTCTGGTTCTTCTTGCATGAACAAGGGTCTATATTCAGCATCCTAATGTAAAACCAGTTTTTTTTTAAAATGTTAAATAAAAGTCTATAACGGTGTTTTTTTGGTTGAATACAATCAATTTGCATTTTAAGTAATTTTATTCTTAGAATTACCTTTTTCAGTAATCATAAATTTAGCTCAAGTATAAATAATATGGGATAATGCCATATCAGGACATTCTAGAGTTTGAGCGCATAATGTTAAAAGAGCAAGCGAAAATCGATGGATTTTTTTAAATATTTTTGAGCGTTTGCATATTAAAAATTCAATCGTCTGCTTGTTAGTTATATTGATTAAACTAATAAGCAGACTGTATAATTTTTAATATGGAAGCAAAAGCTGGAGATATCCAATTTTTTTTTGTAAATCGATTTTTAAGATGCTTGATTTTTGGCATACTATCTTTTACCTTATGAACTCGCGAACGATTTGGTATTGCCTCAGCCTAAGCGAAATAAAAATAACATATTATATCAATTGATGATAGATTATATTTGGATTCAATAAATAAAGAGAATAATACTACAATTATCACGATTTAAAACTAATTCATTTCATATACCGCTGGAGGAATATTATAGTGATCTAATCATTGTTTAGAACATTTGGATCCGGACTCAGTGGAGGGTTCAGGGTGTCAAAAAAGTATTCCCGTGGAATATTATTTTTCTTCACATTTTTCAAAATTGGTTTTTATACTTTAATTTCATAGGTAATATTTTATTATAAAATAATACTTTATTAAAACGATTTATTGAGTTTGAAAGATTTCTGTATAGATCTTATAGGCACATGTTAAGTCGTATTGTCTAAATATGATTGGAATCAATTAAAACCTTACTAGTATTGTAACATCTAATATATCAATACTAAGATTGCAATCAGAACAATGTTTATCTGATTTTTTATGGCACATGGGTTAAATGCCGATTAGATTTATAAAAATTAACTAGTTCTTTTTCATACAAAATATTATGAAAATTTTAGAGCAAAAACTGTTTGCAAAACAGTGTAGTATATTATATGCCTCTATATTTAGACCCATATCATGTTCTAATGAATATTGAGCAAAAACAGATGGCTAAAGACCATCTTAAATAATTATAGCATAAGTAACACTCCATCCTTTACAACATATTAGGCTACTACTACATCAACTGATTGTATTGATAACAATAGACATTGAAAATTTACTTTTAGATAGAGAAAAGAAAATTATCATCAGATAAGAAGGAATCACAAATTCCGGTTATATCTTTAATCAAAAAGTTTTCACAGGTTAAGAGAATAAGGATGCAAATATTTTAAAATTCTGGGAAAAAAATCATTCAATATATCCAGAACTATATATCATTTAGAATCGTGTGGGTAGGGTTGCTTAAAAGCCAGATTCGGGTCGATTTTCAAAAACGACCCGACTAAAATTCTAAATAATATTATGTAAGACTAGAGATTTTAGTCATAGGTGGCAGCTTTTACCAAATCTCGAGGTTTACATGTTATTATGGCTAAAAACTTAATCAAAAATCGACCCAAATCAGGCTTTTTATCAAAGGTCATGGGGTACCAGCGACACAATGAATTATAAAGATAGCTATTTATGTTAGGTCAGCTTGAAAGGTGCATTTTCTTCTTTGAAATACGTATTGTATTTTAAAAGATATTTGATTGTACGATTAAATAAACATTCAAAAAATAAATTAATTTTTAAACTTTTTGCTTGTAAATTATGTGTGTATTTATATGGAGTATAAAAATATATAAATGATAAAAAAAAATTGTGTTATTTTGAGTCGATATTTTTTTATATTCTAAACCCTGAATCCGGATCCTAATACTAATTTTATTCCCTAACCCGGACCCTTTTTTTTATGAAACTCAAAGGGTTCAAAAATAAAAATTATAAATTAAGAATATATAATAATGTAAATAAAAATGAATTCTTGATTTTTATTGTTTATATAGAACAATTTAGCAATTTGAATTATTTTTTTAAAAAAAAACATTTAACTAGGTGAATAAAGAATAGAAACACTATTTACTCAATCACGGTATTATTACAAGATAATAAATAAAATATTATTTTTAAAAACCAATAGCCAGGAACGAATGAGTTGCACCATTTGCTCTTTCACGTTGTAAGTTATCGTTGGCATCCTTAAACCCTTTACAAATATAACAAAAAAAAATTTATATTATTATGACTAACATAAGAGATATTTTCGTCTATAAGTAGTTTATTAAGAATACAAACTTTTTTTAAATTAAATTTTGATAGGTAGGTACACAAGGCTATATCCAATCTTTCTAAAAAATTCGAAAAGTTTTGAAACTTTAATAAGTATGTTAAAATTTTTCTAGAATTATATTTTTGACATGTTTTTATTTTTATATTAAAGCTTATTTCCTCTTTTTCGATAAAGATTCATTGTGATTCAAATTTAAAAGATAATAAAAAAATAATTAATCTCGAAACGGGCCATGTCACCAGCTGATTTGTAATGACTATTCAAAAGACATTTTATTGAATGAATCGTCAATCTAAAAAATTCTTATGTTATTGACTTAAGTAAAAAAATTTTAAATTTTATTTTATATTTTCCATCTATAGTTTTTTGTTTTTAAAAAAAAAGAAACTAAATCCCCCCCCCCCCCCAAAAAGGAAGATAATTTTTATTTTATTTATAAATTTATTACATATATAAAAGTATATGTGTCGTTTGGTATATGAAATCCATAGTAATTCGTAAATCAATTATTGAGGAAATTTTTAAAAAATCTAATTTGACCAGAAATTACTCCAGCATGAGTACCAACGCTTTGAATTTTCTGACATTTTTGCCATGAAAACTTTTAAACTACACTTAATTTATCTCCCATTTTAATATAGATTTATTTTAATTATATATTGAAAAAAAATTACACAAAATTGAATGGCAAAATATTGCCTAAAATTTACAGGGTACGTTATTCTACATATGCCGGAAAACACATTTCTCAAAAATCAGACTTTCTTAATCTATACGCTCCGAATAAATGTTAGAAAATTGAGACATTTCGAATTTCATGATTGTAGAGGTTAATAAAATTTTATTTCTATATGGGTAACTACCCCATGAGAAAAATAATGAATGTTGGCTACTCTGCCCAATCTCTCCTTAAATATAAGAATTTTGTTTGAAATAAATAAAATGCACATGCGTTGTGCTTTAAACAATTCTGATATAACAAAATTTGCTTGTTTAATTAAGCCTCTTAACAGTAATAAGTCATGAAAAGGTGAATAGTGGTCTGATTATTGGTCCAATGCATAATTTCTTAAAGTTAGTAATAACTCCATGGATTCCAATTCCTACTCAATAGATAGGGCATCCTTTGATCATATTTTCGTCGATCATGTTAGACGACATCATTATTAATAAGAATTTTTATGCAGGTAATTATTTATGCATTTATTTTATATATCAGATAATTCCAAGTAATATTTAATAATATTCAAGAAATAATCTTAATTACAACTTAAATGGACCAATAAAAAAAGTGAACGGATTTATAATTAGTCACCTAATATGACATATATTATTTTTTTTATAAAAATAAAAATAGCTTTGAATAAAATATGGTAACGTTTTTTTCATTACTTTTTTTTAATAACTGTGCATCTGATATAAAATCATAATATATCGTCGGTCTATAATTGGAGTGCTCCACTTGCGCAAATGTTTAAAATGAGAAAATCAACATTAAAGTTTAAAAAGTTATTGATCAATTTTGGCAATAACTTTGGCAAAAGTTAATATCTTTTAATCTAGTTTTTATTTCTGGGAATAAATACGTTATTATCCACTTCTAACTTAAAAATTTTGAAAATGTCGAGTGGAGCACTCCAATTCTAGACCGGCGGTATATTAATTTAACGTAGAAATATGGAATCGATAAATGGACGAGTCAGGCTGGCACAACTAATTAATTAATCGTAAATATTGGCACCTTTACTAAAAAACAAAAATTCCAAAGCCCGTTATTCAGCAAAGCTCGTATATAATTTATTTTCAACCCCTCCCCCCCCCCCCCCCCATATGTCAAGATGCCAAAATATTTTATTATGAATATAATCTATATTTATTTAAAACCAAACGAATAGCGTTGAGTATGAAGTTGATATTTTGGCGATCAGAACTCAACAAAAAATCTCTGAATATGTGTATAGTTATAATCTTATTGTTGAGTTCCGTGTTTTCACCCAAACGATTTCCGGAAGAGCCTAGAGTTGTACTGGTATTCGCACTATCTCCGGAGTAAAAAGATTCGTTCTCAAATGCTGAGGGTATACTACTGCTTTTCACAGACGGGCTAGCTTTGAACGTGTGGTTATATTTTTAAATATTTGTTTATGGTATTATTTTAATACTTTTACAAGTATTAATCCGATTATAAAATTCCCGTTTAAAAAACATTTTAGCCTCCCTCCCCCCAACGGGTTTAAATTTATGATATACAAAATCATATAAAATCTGATTAGTATCCTTTTTTTGACCACCCTCCCTTTACCAAGAAAATATGAATGAAATGCGAAAATATTTTACTACTATCATGATCCATTGTTTTGGGAGGAATATAATTTTTATTATCAGACAAAGTGTGAGATTGGTTGTTGGCCAAATATATTTTAGACGGGTTATGTCTGTGGACTTGATGTTGATGTTCCATCATGTGAGTAGTGAGTTCTTTAATGGGGGAGCGGCAATATTTTAGGAGCCATGTTAAAAAACATCTTTGATATTCGGTAGATAGGTTTGAGGGGGACTTTTTATGGCTAAGGCTAGGAAGTGTAAGCTCGTTATTGGCCAAAACTTGTTTTAATGATCATAAAATTTTTAAATATTAAATTAGACAAAACATCTTTCACAAATTAAAATTTCCTTATTTGAATAAATATATCTATATTTTTTTAGATTATATGTTTTATGGGAAAATAATTTTATATCCAATATTTGAAAATTACTTAAAAGTGGATTGTAGTCTAGAGAATAGAGATCAATATTGTATTTCGGTGGACTCATGGGAAATATGCGTGGATAAATCAGGTTAGATATTTTGTAAAATATTGTTTTTAAGCTGATAAGTTTTAGGGAATCGTCATGCCACATTATATTATTAATCTTAACATTTTTTTTTTAAATTAAGGAATTAGATATATGCATCTAATTCTAATATTAATATTATTACCTCCCAAATACTTGTTTCAAGGATAAGCTCCATCAAATGTATTGCTTGTGCTGTAGTGAAATTATTATCTCCAGCTGGGAATATAGGTGTTAAATCTGAGGGGTAAAGTGCTTTAGCCCAAAATATTTAAATTTTTTATTTACCATTGTTTAAAAACTATGAATTAATAAAATAAATTATGATAAAGATTTGGTCAAACTTCTAACTAATAGATTTTTATATTGTTAAAGCAGAAAAATGCATAAGAGGCATAGCTCAGGTTTGGGTGACATAATTTTTAATGGTTCAGGTTCTGTATAATCATGGTAAATATCAGTTTAAAGGTTTGGTTCATGATCAGTTTGGTTGGATATTGTTAAAATAATAATATACCATGTGGTATGATTTCTTTTGGTGCCAGTGGCTGATTATTCTTTGCTGGTGTGGGTAAGCCAGATATAATATTTAGATTGTTTGAAGTTAAAAAAAAATTCCCAGTTTTTAATATTAATTTATCACAAATTTTTGAATAATATTCATTGTATCTACTATCATTTGTAATTGATGGTATCAATGATATAAATGTGTTATCTAGAATAACATCATCATTGTAATTTCTATAATTATTATCTTTTTGGGTTATCACTATTGTATACCAAATAATAAATAATTTATATCCTTTTTCTTTAATCTATAAGCATATTTTTTTAAATAATATATGTTAACTAAATTAAACAAATATAAATATACCTTTAATATATTAAATGGGGAATAGATTTGATATAAAAATCTACCTATGATAAATATAACTCTCCATATATATACTTTTAAATTACCAATACTATGAAATTGCCATTTATCATTGATTATATCAGGTAATGAATAAAATAACACCTATTTATAATATTTAGTTTTTATTAAAAATTTAATTTTACTTCAATTATTCTTAATATATTTTCTATTTCTTCTTTAAATGTCTTAGAATCTAACAAATCATTAAAAGTATACAATTTATTTGATCAAACTTTTTTGCTTAATAATATCATTGTAGTAATCATAAAGCAAATGATATATTAAAAGACTATTTTGCTCGATAGTAATTTTAATATCAATGATATCAGGAGAATCTGCAAGAAAATATTTAATTATTTTAATTAATATATAAAACCTATCAAAGCTTTGAGGTATTTAATTTTGCTAGTTATATCCTTCTTGTTATCTTTTATTTTGAATAACAATTTTGAAATATCCGAGCCCTGCTTTTTAGGAAACATATTTAGCATATGTTTTTATATGTTATCAATCAACTAGGAACATATTATTTTTCTTAATTTGTGCAGTTTTGTCGAGCAGCTCGATTTAAAAACTACTACACCATCGCATACCTATTTATATATAGCAGAAAGGTTTGTTAACGAAATCTTTAATTTGGATAAACCTAAATTTAAAATTGATGAAATAAAGCTGTTTAATACCACTAAATTTATAAACGATTGCTTATTTTGAAGTGAAATAAAATATATTTTTTTTATATATTTTGACATTATTACCTTAATAATTAAATAAGAATCAACTTTAGAGTTAATAATATATATGTCTTAATTATTTTAGGGTAGTAACATTTTGATTTCAATTTTTTTGAAGAGAAGTATAGGGTAGGCATTTAAGGGGGTAATCTAGAGGTAAACAATATTTATTGGTGGATTTTCTATTGAATATTTAAATAAAATAGGGCAAAATATATTGCTGTTAAATATATTTTATTGTTTTCATTTTTCAAATAAAACTTATTTATTGATAATTTTCTATTTTTCAAATGTAATTTTAAAGGATTAGATATACTATCAGCAAGCTCATATGCCAAACAATTTACTATAATAATGCATTGCATATTGTAAATAAAGGAGTAAATATTCATATTTATAACTCTTTTCTTTTACATCTACTTTTCTTATATTTGGTAATAGAGTATTGATAATTTTAAAATATATGATTGGAGTGTTATTATAATTAAAAACGCGTAATTCAAAATGTGGAAATATCGCTGTCGAAGCCTACAAATTTTTTTAGGAGGATAGATATCGGTTTTTTAGGGGGGGTGGGTGTGGTTCCATTCTGTGAATATCCTGTCATGTAGATGCTATTTCCTTTGCATAAGAAATATTCAATAAAAAAATATTAAATATATAATTTGTTATACTAAAAACAGCCAACTTTCAAGTTTTCTTCAACCACTATAATTAAGGCTTGGCCTAAATAAAGTTATTGACTCTTCGGGCTCACGCTGCCTGCAACTTATATGGTCTTGTTAGGAATCATGAGGTTTTAAAGTCAATTCTAATGAACATAATATGAAATCAACTAGTTTTCTTATTAAATGTAATATGTAAATTTTATTATGTGGCAATTCAACGTATATTTATATATGTAATTTTTCTAATTATCCTAACTTAAATTTTTTCTTTTCTTCATTAGAAGAAAATGATAATTTAAATTCCCCAAAATATATTAATATAATAAGATTTTTAGTGGGTATCTTGACCCTTCTAGCTTTAATACCTCTCTTTTATTATTCAATCAATGTTTATAACAAAAAATTTTAGATTAAGCGAATATATAATTTCGAAAAGAAAAATGGCAAATTACACAAAAAAAAAGGGACAAGCAACAATAAAAAAATATAACATAATCGGTGGGATAAATATTGGGTATAGTCACGTAAATGATTATTCTAATAATTAGAAATGTTTTGTGTTAAGAATTTTTAATATGTTAGTTAAATTTTTCAGAGTAAATGAATAGCCCTGGTAATAATGGTATTGTAGTCGGCTCTGATAGGCCGGGCAAAAGAGATTGTCGATGGATTCAGCTCCAAAGGGTTTGCATTCTTTGATTAGTATTGTCAACGAGTCCCATATTACATCACTGTCTATTGCTTAGAATAAATCTTGTTATGTTCCTCCCAACCTCTTATTGTTCTTCAACCGGGTTTTCATCAGTAGGTATTATAGTTGTTAAACGGCTCGATTTGAGCCGTTAAAACGGTTAATTCAAAATTCTTAAACCTTGAGGCTTGGCTAATAGATGTTCAAACTTTTGTGCCATCTATGACAAAAATCATCAGCTTGCGTAGTATCAAATCGAGGAATTTAACAATATTAGTGAGCATCTAGTAGATTTTCTAGGATATTACTGTAAAATTAATTAGTCCGAACTTGATTAAAATTTGAGTGAGGATACTTTCAATGTAGGGGCTCTGGATCCTTGTTTTCTATAGATGTAGTATGTTACGGCAGAGTCGTGAATATGGTGTTTTTACCTCGGTTGATAGCCAGGATTGCGCTGATACCTCCCGCTAGAACTTTATTTGCATAGATGTGCTCGATGGCATTTTCTGGTATGTTGATGTTGAACAATAGCACTTCCTGATAGGATACCTATATATTTTCGCATCTCAGAAATAAACTTTAATATGGTCATCTCAAGCTTCTCTGTAAACTACGTGATGAGTGTGGTATTCGAGTAATGGGTTGTTGGAATGCGTCACGATGAGTTCAGCCTTCTCGGAGGCTAGGTAGGTAAAACGACAGAAGTTATTTTTGTTTTACAAAATATTAATATTTATAATATCTAATTCAATTTTATTTCCATTAAAGATATGTATAAGTAAAAAGAGATTTTTGCAAAATAACATTTTATATTTTTATACTATCAAATTTTATAGAAAATAATTAAATTCAAATTAAAAGTTTGAATGTTTATATTCATTATAAACAAACTTTTGTAAAATGTTTTCTGCTAATTATGTTTATAATACTTGACTTATTTATGTATCAGAACAGCTATTATTAACCCACTATCCTAATAATAATACAATTCTTTCAACAAAAGGCATTTAACAAGGGGACCCCCCTTCCACCCCCAATTTGTTCAATTAAACAAACTTTGAATATAATTAAAATAAGATATAGGCCCTTAAATTAGTAATACTACGATCATCATAACAAATCTCCCTAATTTCTTAATTTCGTCCACAGTAAAGTTCTCAATCTATAAAAGAAAACAATTAATCATTGAAATAAGTGCAAAATCAAAATTCTATTCCCAGGGTATAAACTTTAAAAAGCGTAGATATAAACAAAGTGAAGTATTTAGGTATTCCAGAGTGAACGATAGCTATATATAATTTTCAAGCAAGGATGCAATAATTTTTTATCGATGGTTTTAACAAAAAATATATAGATTTAAGAAAATAATCTATGAGAATTTTTCAGATAAAATATCAATTAATCTTTCAACATTAAATTCATAATCTTAGCAAATTCTCGCATCAAGTTTCCCAATCATGTTACTCTCATTGTGCTTCTTGAAGGCGTTTTTATCTTTTTAGAGTTCACAACAAACGTTAATTTGCATATTTATTGCAAAATGTTCAATTTTGTTGAATTTACAAACTCTTATATCTGAGCACGAATGAGACAACATTCAAGGTAGAGTGGGGTTTTCTGATCAGGCAAATTGTCATAAAGTTAGAAATAATCAGTGGAACATTGGAATAGGTAAAATTTTGTGTTTCATAATTCTTTCATATTGATATCTAAACAAAAATTTGCTATTATTTGTTTTATATTGATAAAAATTCTTTCTAATTTTTTTCATATATATTAAATACTCAGAAAATTTATTCTTCTATAAAATATTATGTGAAACAATCCAAAAAAACATCATTTAATTTTTAACAAATTTTTATCCAAAACTTTATTATAAATTATATAAAAAAATTAAAAAATGGGTTTTTACTTTTCTATTTTATAAATGCGTTCTTACTATTAATATTACTTTACTATAGTTTCATTTTAGCGCCAGGAAAAAAAACATTTATTGTAGTCACTTTCAATTTTTCCGTGATCAATTTATATATCTTAATACATTTTTTTCCGTAGTTATAACCAGAGACATCAAGATGATATGTTCTATAAATTTCGTTTTAATTTTTTTTTAATATGCCAATAATACATTATTCTTTAATTTGACAAATGTGTTGAAGAATCAAAATGTACTAAATTCTTGCTAATTATTGATATAAGTTTCATTTAATGTGTCCAGAAGTTAGGCTGAATTGATGCTTAAATTCTTATTTAACTTATAGTTTGATCATCTTCTTTAGTTGACGAAATTAATTGTAGAAATAATAAGTTAGACACTAAATATTAACGAAAACCAGTTTAAAACTTTTATATACTCTGTAGTATGATGTCAATTTTAGCAATTATCTTCATATTTTACCAATAAATTTTCCCCTTTAAATCTTCTACCAAACAGATTAAAGTAGTGTTGTTAAAAAGCCCGAGTCATCAAATTCTGGTCAGAGACCATCATAGGCCTTAATTTTAATTTTTGTCCAATCCTGGCTAGGCAAAATATTTTTTAGATCCTAACCCGACCCGGCCTACATCTAATATCTAAAAAATTCCTCAGTCCGGCCCAAGCCCAAAATTTTAAATATATTTTTCAAGCCTGGCCTAAACCCAATTCCAAAAATTTATTTATTGTATTTAATAATAATCAACAATATTTAAGTGTTAGGCAATCATTTTTTTTGCAATACTTAAATTTATGAAGAAAAAT